CCTAAAAAATTGTGATATAAATGAACGTTGTTTATTTTAGCAAATGAATATTAAACATAAAAAAATCGTAGCGTCTTTTTTTTTTTACACGATTCAATAACGGGAATTTTAAAGACAAGAAAAACAATTTTTAATCAATGAACAAAGCTTTTCCCCTTGTAACCTAAATCTATACATCTATATATTTCAAGATTATATTACTAGACAAATATAATCATATATAGAGTTATGGTTGTCACGCTCCCCCTGCGCATGCCACTGCATCGACGTAAACAGTGATTGATTAATGACATACAATATATGTTAACGATTCCCCGGGTTCATTTTATGTAATCACACTGTATACGGAAAATATTATTTTATTAGTGTGAAAAAATAACTGTGTGCAAATCAGATCAAGTTCCGTGCTCGAATTGGGGCGGGGGACGCAAGAGAACGGAGTACCTCGACTAATTTTTTAGACGTTTTGACGTACCTTCACTTTTTAATTGAAGTAGAACGCACGGGAGGCAGCGGCGGATACAAGAGGGGGGGGGGGGGGGTGACAGCACAACTGCCCTCTCTTAGACCGTGTTTTTTTTTCTTCGCAATTTTTATATTCTACAGTTTCTTATACAACATAAATATATTTTTTTAATAAAATCTGTTCTCTTAAAAACTTCTGAATCCATCGTTGAATGGATGGTATGCACTTTTAAAAAGTTTTAATCACATAAACACCAAAAAAATCCTAAAAAAACTCTAAAATTTCTGGCTATATATAATTGAACAATTTTTCAGAATATTTTGAAAATTGTATCATATGTTTGAAAAGATCTGTATATAAGGTTGTATACATAAGCTTTCAGTATAATTTCCGGCTTTTATGACATATTTTTCAGCAAATAACAATAAAACAAAAAAAAAAAAATCAATATCCTATATATACCTAACAGAAACTTTTTTTTTGTAAATAATATTATTTTTTTTTAATATAATATATTAATACCGCCGTAAATATTTATCCGTTTTTTTCGGTATTCCCATTTCCAATGAAATGACTTCTATATACATATTTATTCTATATTCTCTTATATATACATCTCGTATATAAGAGACTATACCTATAAAAGTATTCAGTAAAATGTCAGGCTTCTTCGATTACTTTTCACTGAATAAACAAAATAGAAAATAATAGAAACCATACTGTATGAATGTTAAAAGTAAAAAAAATTTCCTGAGGCTTTTTCTAGGATTTTTTCCATAATTAAGAACATTACAAAGGAAATAAAACAATTAAACCCTTTTCATTGTACCGAACAGACAAAATTGTTAACTAGAAACCATCATCTCTAAAATTGTTGTTCGGAGCATGTTAAATTAGATAAAGTTAGAAAAGTTATTCACACAGAAAAAATAACAAAAACACAGTCATAGAAAAATTTAAAATAAATATCATGCAAGTAAAAAGTTAGACTGGTGAGTGCTCTAAGTGTTTGTTTTCGGAAATTATTAATTATACTAATTAAAAACCCCAGATTTATAAGTAATGCTCCCGCATACATTTCAAATCGAACCCTTTACACAGGTTTCCATATTCTTACATTTATCGGAACATTCAAGCTACACTTCTCTAAACTTAGAAATCGTTTTTAAAATCGTACCATTCCACTCGCTTAAAAATTTCTTTATGTTTCCATTTCCCTGGAAAAAAAATACCGATGTAACGCCTGGCGTTAGTAAAATCACGAGTAAAATACGTTATCATTGAATTATAATTACTATCTAGTTATTGTTTAGCCTGTATAGGGTACCAATACCTTAAGTTTAGGTTAGGTTAGGTTTGGTTTATGCTTAGGTTTATGTTTAATTAAACATCGATGGACTCAGTCATATATTCTGCAAGTTCACTCAAAAGAAAATTGTTATTTCGATCCATTTTCTCGTCCAAATTTCATAGGCAGATGTTTCCATAAATTTAGAGCTGGGCTAATATTTTTAAATACTTTATTGCATATCAGAGCTGCTTTCTGTGCTTGCAAAAATCCGTAAACCATAAACGCCAAGAGAGTGTGATTTATTTTAGACATCCTTTATCACACAAAAACCTATATCCTATTCGGTTAATGGTCATAATGTATTGAATGTGTATAATATGTATTTTTGAACTATTATTTTAAAAATTTAAAAATTATAAGTAGATGAAAACTTGATTAAATAAAAATATCTCAAATCAAAATAATCTAAGCAACTACAATTAAATTAGTTTTAATAATGAGATTTAAACTTAAAAAGACGTCCTAGGATAATAGGGACGAGTGCAGTCACTGTTCTAGGTAATTTAATGTATACCTGTAAGCAATGATAAACCATTGCTAATGAAAAAACGATTATGAGTGGAGTTCAGTTGATAGTGATACTTTGTCAGCAATATATATATATATATATATATTATATTATAGAAAATAATTAAACAGGCATTATATGTTTTTTTTAATAATATTTGTTTAATTTTGTACTAATTTTCCCGGTTTTTTACATTCGCTAGGAAAATCAAAAAATTACCTCTCTAAAGTACCTCCCTAGTCGGATTTCTTTTTAGAAACATTACTATAATTATAAATTGGAGCAAAATATCTGGTAAAAAAGTTGTGTATAGAAAAAAAAAATCGTAATATATTATAATTAATAACTACATTTCTTATATTTTCCCGTTTTTTTTCCCTTATTTTTTTCGGTTTTTCAAATTAGACGAGAAAACTCCAGATAAAATCGAAAAATGACATTTTTAAAGTACCTCTTCACGTCGATTTTCTTTCAGAAAAGGTATTACACTTAGAAATCCGAGCAAGTCTTCTAGTAGAAAAGTTGCTCACAAGTAAAAAAAATTCCATTTTTATTTTTATCTCTTACCTTTCATCAACAGTTATCAAAGCACAGTTCTTGGATACCTCGGCCATCCTTCTTTTTCTTTTTTATTCAATTTTCAAGAAAATATATACTATTATAGAATAAACTATTTAGTTTATTTTACTGGACCGTGCATACCGTATAGTCACTAAACGTGATTTAGTACTCGATTTAGCGATTGGTTGTGATACATGATCAAGCACTATATAATTTTAGTCAGTGGCGAAGCTAACTTAAAACCTAAGCTTTGAATTTTACGGTACCAAACTTGGCTCAAATAGAAACGACATCCCATATTTACGCCGTCGAAAAGATAGCTGTGTTAATTGTTTGGTGCATTGATATAACTCAAGGTCTAATACAAATTTATTTGGGTTTATTCCAACTTTATGTATTTGTTTTTTTTTTTAATAATTCAATGTGTTTTTAAAATGATTTATCCGGTAAAAAAAAATGAAAATGATTCTGTATAATAATAATAATTATTTCTGTTCGTGTAGGAATTTTCATACGGGTATTTTTTTTTTCGTGTCGGAACTTACACAATATTGTGAATCCGTTTACCTGCTATGTTTCGTGTGCAGGGAACTGACCGAGCCCCTGCGGTTCGGCGTGTAGAAAACAATCATTTGGCAGTGCGAACGGAGAAGAAACGATCGGAAACGCGTATACCCTGCAGTTGAAACACTGATGTTCGTATAGCGTAAGCCGCCGCCGCCGGCGAACGAAACGGCCGCGGGTTTTGATCGTTTCTACAATACAACAGACGCGTGGTTCGCGAACGAATACGCCGCCGCCGCCGTCGTCCCCGTATTGCGATAATAATAATAATAATTATTATTATTATTATGAAAAACGCCGTTGTCCTATATATATATATAGCGAAACCGGGCGTATGAAAACAACAACAAAAAAAAAAAAATTCAAACGGGCGGTCGCGGAGCACTCGAACACGGTTACGACATGGTTACGTTGTGTGTACGCGCGCGTTAAACGTCGCGTTATTGTCGCGGGTCGCGGACCTCAAAAGAGCCCGGCGGCGGCGGCGACGGCGGCCCGGGGACAAGGAAATCGACCTTGTCCCAGGTTATGGTCGCGTTGTGCGTTCCATTCCCCTTTGCACGTGGCGGCCGGACGGCCGAGTGCACGCCGCGCGTCGTCTCGTTGATAAAAAAAAAAAAACTACTACAAGTCTACAACTATACAACTGTATACGCGACCGTATTATGTTTCGCACACGTCGCCGCGTCCGCCAGTACACCGGTATGATATGCATGTTGTAATAACGTGCGTGTACGAGCCCCGAGACGCGGTTTTTCGTTCGCGATATACCGCGCGTTTTCCGCGACAACGGCGCCGAGAGAGAAGCAAACGGATAGGGAAAAAAACGAAAACGATAACCGAGCGCCGTCACGCGATCCGAACACGTTTCTTCAATATACGGAGGGGCTGCGGTGGCCGATCGCGGTGATCGGTCATTTTCCGCCGTCGCCGATGACCGCGCGCGCCCCGGTACACGACCGACAACACGCGAAACGGCGATTTCGTCGATTTCCTTTCCAATACGAATGCGTTCCCGAAGCCGCGTTTTCGAATTGACGTCCGCACGCCATTGGCGTCCCGTACGTATTGTGCGCATCGCCGGCCGTATAAGGTCGCGTCGATACACTTACAGAGAGAGAGAAAAAAAAAAAACCTATCAAAATATCGAAAAACGCCCGACGCGTTTATTTTCCCGTGCCGACGTGACCGTTATCCCGCGGTCGGATATTTTCAGTCAAAACTCGACTTGGAATTATCGGAAGACGTTGTCACCGGGGCTTATGCGAATCGTATAGCGACCGATAAAAACGTCTGCAGTCGGTGTAAATTTCGATTATTCACAATTTTCAACCCTTACAAAGAATTCGGAAAACGGAAATTCCGACTGCGGAACAGGGACGATTGTAAGAGTAATTTTTTCTTCCGAAATTCGACTTGGTTTTCTTTCTCCACTCGCGGATAATATTATCAGTACGCGTTGGGAGTGCAAAATTCCACAAACGCACAATTATTTCGTAGACATTTAATAATAATAAAAAAAAACAAAACAATAGACATTTTATTTGAAAACCTTTTTATTTTATTTGCATTAAAATTTCGAAAAAAGTGAGTACACAAGAAACACGTCATCATTTCAAACAAAAACAATATCACGGATTTATCGGCGTCGCGACGCAAAATTAAACGCTTTTCAAAAACTGCAGCGGCCGCTAGAGATTATTATAAAATGTATACGGTGGTTAATACGGAAAACCGATAGTGGCCGTTCAACAAACAAAAAATTGGCGGGGTGGTGGGGAAAAAATGTATATAATATAATAAAAATACAAACGCGGTTAGTTGTGGACGATACATAATAATATATACCTACCTATACGTTGAATATAATATTAATATAAACGTAATATATAATGGTATCAACTTAGAAATTACAAGGAAAAACGAAAAAAAAAAAAATAAAATCTTTTTATATGTTAGTATTTGGCGTATTATGCAAGATATTATAACGACTACGTACTATATTCTAACTTAACAAAGTATGGTAAATAATGTTGTATTTAGTCTACGAACACCGCGGGTGGGAAAGTGTACGACTTTCGGGAGAAACCGGGCAGGGCCTTATCAACGACGGCGCGGATTACGGCGACGGATGGCCAACGGTCCGGGTCATTCGGGTTCCGGCGCGTTTATTGCGCTCGGCTTGTTGTTCTTGTCGGCACCGCCGCCGCCGGATTCTTCGATCCGGCTGTTGTGTAACAATTGGCCCATGACGTCGGCCAGCCGGCGCGTTTGCGCAGCGTTATCTTTCATCAGCTTCTCGACCCGGTTGAAGTGCCGCTGGTGCACGGACAACGTGTCTCTGTGCAACCGGACCATCTGTTCGAGTATGTGTTCGAGAGCGTCCGGCAGATTCTGCTGCTGCTTCGATGACGGGACGAGATTCTTGGCTCGGGGCGACGTCGTCGTGGAAATGCTGCTCACGGCGCTGCCGGTCGTGCACACGGCCAACGGATCCACTTTCAACCGCTTGGACACGTGACCCGAACTGTTGACCACGTAACAGTGGTCGTCGTTCGTCCCGTCACCGTCTTCCACGTAGTTTTCGATCTGGTTGGAGTTGTTGACTTGGTGCGGGAACCTCACGGTACTGTCGTCGTGGTCGCTGCCGTGCTCTTCCGAATCGACTATGTCTTGCTCGTCCATCATCAGCGTGTGCGCGTACGCGGAAGCGTTCGCGTACTTCTTCTTCCGCTTCAGTATCTCGTGTAGCGCCTCGAAATACGGCGGTGGTTTCTTCGGCGCCGTGTTACTCGGGTCCGTCGCGCTAATCAAGTAATTCCGGTACGACTTCTCCAGGTTCCGCCACTTTTGGTGGCATTTGATACCGCCCTCGTTTATGGAGTCCGCGATCCGGTAGCCCTTGGACATCAGCTCTTCGCATATCCGTTTCCAGACCCGAATTTTTACCGTACACTGATCGTTAAACATGTCCTGATACCTTTTCGAACCGACTAACGCTAGCATTTCCCTCGTGGCCTCGATATCCTTTTGGCACGGCGTCCGCATGCTCCACAACAATTGATCCGAATCTGTAATACATTCAATCGTAAAATATTCACGTTCATTTATTTATTTAATTGTTTTGTTTTGTTTTTAATCGTCTAATTATTTTCGGTTTACACGCGAATACGTGCGACATGTTTAAACATTTGGTTCAAAGGAGAGCTTAAAGGGGAATCATTATATGAATTATTTATATAGAGCGATATTTGTATTTTAGCTAGGGATGCCGATGAGCGTTTAATAATAATACTAATGTTTTTACAATAGATTATACGGTTTCGTAATGCAATACATCGTAGTATTGTTTGTTTGTCGTTATATTATTAGGAATTATTATCATCGTACTATTGCGTCATACAATTTTTACTACAGTATTGGAACACGTACGATTAGAATGAATTTCATCGTGGCGTAAACTAGCAAATGTTATTTTAAGTGTTCAAATGATTGTTAAACGCAGGAAAAAAAACATCCGTAAGCAGCAGAGATCCGTCGCTAATTTTCCTCCGCCTAATTCGAATTGCATGAAATTTTCTAAATAATTGGGAAGGAACGATTTACGACGATAAAAGTTTCGAAATTTTCACAGGTTACTTAAATGAGCCTTTTCTAGACAAGAGATTTCAAAAGACGTTTAACCGAACTTAGCTCAGAATCGTATTTCGTTTGTAATGATTTATCGTTGCATACAGATTTAAATTAAATTATTGTGCAATAATATGTATCCTACATACTCACCTAGAACAGTAGAACACCTGTCATAAGTATAAGCGGTTCTTTTTATATTTTATTCCGGAATTCAAATTTCCTAATTTATAAACGGAAATTGATATATTTTTCAGACGAATATTTTGTTTCCGACTATAGAAAATTAAAAATTAGGATTTTAATTTTAATCACATTGAACGTACAAAAGATTACTGAACAGGAAACGAATATATTATGGCAATTAAAGAATAATATTTCCGCTAGAAAACAATACGTACAATATTGCAATAGGTATAATGTTAAATGGAACACTTTATCCTTAACAACACGTAGTCGTACTTATTATTCGAATATTATTTTAAATTTATATCCGTATGATTTATAGAGTAGGTGTTATGACGTTGCAACAAATCGTCTATTTTTATCATTTTTCGCCGATAAACGATAATATTTTATGCGTTAAGTTAGGTTAGTGCGATATAGTCGTAAGAAGCGTACTGTAATTTATTGTTTGAACATTTTAATAAATAAAAACTACGTCAATAGCTGGCAATATTTCAATGATATCATAACACACTTGAAAATATAAGGAGAGTTTTTTTTTTCTTTTAAAGAGTTTATCTCGTTAAATGCATTGCACCGTGATGTATACATATACACTGCGAGCACACGCAATATACACGAAAAAAATCGTCGACTTCCTTCCGGTCTTCCATCAAACATATTTGTTTATTATGCGCATTTGAATATACACAAAACGATAATAGATTTACGGGGTTAATAATAATTTATTTACGGCAACGCAGTTTTCGGTAAACAGTTTGCTGCGACGTTTGCATTTCGGCCGCAATATAGCCAAGAGGTTTTGTATTATATACTATATATAATACGGAACGGTTTGTTTCGCTGAACCGGTAATAAGGTTGCTCAAAACTGCATCGCCAGAACACGTCTAATAAAACATTATCTATTATTTTTATGGTGGAGGTGTATTATACATATTATATTATGAACGACCAAGACCTTCTGTATAGGTATATACGAGACGTCAATAATCTATTTATGATCGCTAATGACGGAACACCGGGTCGTATAGACTGCGGAGAATCCTCAAAAACTTGTTATGTTAATCATTATTAATATAGCACATCTTATATACAACATTATGATTATTAGGACATTTCAATGCACTTTACATTGTTTTCCAAAACTTGTTGTGCCACGCTCATTCTGTTACAAATAATTGTTATTTTTTCATATATTTGTTTGATGAGAATGAAAAACTTAATTTTGACTTCAAAGTAATTGTTGATTCTGAGTAAAGCGTGATTTTACTATAATGTGTTTTTTTTTCATGTCTGTAAACAACGATTCTACCAGAAATATTGTTTTAATTAAAAACTTTATAAGAACTTTGTCGTAGCATTATTGATCTAGTAAGTACACTGATGAAAAGGTCATTTTTATTTTATTTTTCGCAATAAATGAGACAATCTGGCAATTTATTGTATAATTTTTGTTAATTTTTCGGTCACTTTGGCAACGAGGGGAAAAAACAGGTTACACCATTCTGATCAGAATCGTTTTTAGTTAGGTTGGTTAGGCATCAACAATATCAGACTGTTTTGAATTTTTTCAGTGGATTTTATAGTAGCATTATTTTGAATTTTTATGACATTAAAGCATTATTTTATTTTTAATTTTTTTTTTTTTTGGGGGGGGGGGGGGGGGGAGAGCGGGAATTATGTGGCATTACATTCCCAATCCTAATATACAATATAATATGCTGCTATATACATTTTTACATGCATCACGATAATATTATTATAATGAAACGGATATAATTGTATTTGTTTACACTAAAATATTTACCTGTCACGACGACTTGGACAATCGGTTTAATGTCGTGATCGGACGAACCTTTCGGCGATCCGGGACCGGACCCGTTAAGGCTCGTGGCGTACCCGAAACCAAAAATTTCCAATACTTCCTCTGAATTTGGAACCGCTATACATTTTCCGGCTAAAAAAACGTACGTATAGGATCCATTATTGTTATTATTATTGTCGTTCTTAAAATGTTCAGTTATACATTTTTTTTTTTTTTTTTTTTTTTTACATTACACAGGTATTTTATCAAGAAAAAATACAATACCAGACTATCAAATAACAATAACAATAATATTAATAATATGTTCGTTGATTAATGATGGATAATATTATATTACTATACTCACTTTCATTGTCCAACACGATTAGATCGCCGTTTTCGTTTGTAACCGGTTGTTTTTGGTCGTCAACCGCTATACTATGATTATCAGGATTAATCCATTCGAATTTTTCCATCTTTATACATACAAACATGTATATATATATATTTATATATTTATAAATATAAATTTATATATTTATTATATATATATATATATAATATATATATATATATATGTGTCTGTATATGTATATAAGAGTATGAATCAGAGATCTGAATTCACTTTAGATGGTTTTATAACTTAACAAATACGTAATATGGTTTTTTTTTTTTTTATTTACCTGTCAAATTAATAAAAACGTCGACAATATAATTAAACAATCTTTACACTATACAAGGGGTGGCTATTAAATAACGAGACTGCTCGCATAAAGGGCGCCCTAGATGGGTAGTGAAAAAAACGAGTAATGCGTTGGGTATCTAGATATCTTATCTATACACGTACTAAAACACGTTTTCGTCACTATTATAGTATTTGTGCAATAGTGGTTTGAAACGAACGTGTTTTTTTCTCGTGCCGAAAACGATGTGTGACGAAAGACATGAGCAACGGATAAACGTAAAATTTTCTCGTTAAACTAAAAAAAACTCCAACTGAGTGCTATAAGTTGTTAAAAGAGGCCTATAGTGAGGATTTCCTATCTCGGGCGCGTGTTTTTGAGTGGCATAAATTATTTTCTGAAGGTCGAGAGTGCACCGGAATCCAATTCAGTCGTAATCCAAATTCAAAACCGTTTTCTTCGATATCAACGGCATCGTGATGACTGAATGGGTTCCAGAGGGTCAAACTGTGAACCAACATTACTATTTGACAGTTTTGGCAACATTGCGCGAATGAGTTCGTAAGAAACGGTCGATATTGTGGAAAAACAAGTCGTGGATCTTGCACCAGGATAAAACGTGAAGCGTTATTTGGCCGCTTAAGGCACTCCAGTACTCGAACACGAGTCTTACTCACCCGACTTGGCACCCTGCGAGTTTTACTTGTTTTCGAAGATAAAGTCTGTCTTAAAAGGAATCCGGTTTGAGTCGATGGAAGAGGTGAAACAAAAATCGGCGGAACTCCTGAATGGTCTTACGAAAACAGACTTCCAGCACTGCTTCGATCAATAGAAGAAACGAATGAAACGGCGTGTGACGAGGGGAGGGGAGTATATTGAAGGGGAACATTTGAATGTAGAAAAATTTTTATAATAAAACACTTTTTCGTAACTAGTCTCGTTATTTAATAGCCACCCGTCGTATAATATAGGTGATATGATAAAACGATAAATCTATAACAGTTGCATTGAATTATTATAATTTTATACACGAGTACAACAATATACGACTGAATTATAATTTTGCTGTACATAAGTCATAGAAAAAAAAAATTAAAAAATATCGTCAATTTGTCGTGTGTAATTCAGTAAACAAACCCGACATAATCATTTAATAAGAAATATTACCTATTATCATTTATCATCAACTGCAGTCGATATTACAAATAATAATTATGTCCTAATTTATATCAAAGCAAATTCCGATCTGGATAAATTAAAAATTGCTCAAAAAAAGAATTGCATACAATATAAGTCAACTTCTACGAACGGAGAAAAAAACTATAAAGAAACTCGTATCGTAACTTACATTTTAAAAGTTGTATACACGGATTTTTAAGGGGGTTTCAGTCGTTTAACAAAATGTGGCATTAGACCAAATAGCTAAATAAAATTGAAGCGTTTGGGTATGATAGATTTCAATTTTGAAAACGCATTTGGATTGGCCTATAGTTTAGCAGTTTTCGATGGACGTGATTTTTATATTCCAAAAATTGCATGTATTATAAATTATAAGAAAGAATTTATGAATAGAAAAATATACCATATTTTTGTCTATCGATATATTATGAGTTATGACGGATGAAAAACAAATATGATATTTAAAACCACCTCCGACATAACCTAATAGTAAATTTTCTCCAAATCCATCAAACCCATTCCTTACATATTTGGATCATATTCATTCATAAAAACGGCCATCCGCCTTACCCTTAAATGGGTATGGGGTAGTAGATAAGTGGAAAAGTCAAGTCTGGTGGTAATGAAAATGCAAAATAAATTTTGAAATTGTACAAAACTGGAGACAATTCTGAAAAAAAAACTCCCGACTCCCATAAATCTGAAACCACCTATTCACGATAATAAGATAATATATCCAGTACGGAGGTTGCCCCTCTCCCGTGGTACCGACTAGGTTAAGAGTTTGAAACGTCAACCCCCGGAGGATTTGTAGTCCCTATCGCTATTTTCATTTAACCATGACGTGCGTATTTTATCAAAACATTGAATTAATCCAACAAAATACATTTTCAAAGATATAATATGACAAATGAACCGTACGGCATAGTTATTGCAATTTTTTGTTTACACTGTCGTCGTTGTCCCAGTTATGATTTACAAACTACAAATACATATCATTTTAAACTTTAACGTATAAAAAAAAAAAAAAAAAAAAAAATAAGAATCGATATTTGTTATCGCCTCAGCGTATTATCTAAAATCGTTGAATTTGTTTCGTATATATTTCTGTCTTCGTATTTCGTAGTATTATTATTGTTATTAAAAATCTCTTCACGGGATAATTTACACGTTGTTTATCTTTTGAAAAAAAAAAATAATAATAATAATAAAAAAAAAAATCTCAAAACAAGAATAATGTTTCTTTATTACAATATAGGAAACGAAACGGAAATTCGATACCTATATGATATATAATATATTAATAATATTATATACCGGTGTGGGCTATTTAACGATAGGATGGATGTGCATGATGATCATGTCGTAATAATAATAATAAGACGATTACTATATATACCATACACATGTATACATATACAATACCTATATATTATATACTAGATAGAAACGGATAGATGGATGGATGTGGAGATACAGACAGAGAGAGAGAGAGAGAGAGAGAAAGAGAGAGAGGAGACGACAGTGACGACGGCGACCTTGGTCTAGACCCTCGGCGCGCATAACATCTTTGCGGTCCATTGCACAACCGAAATGGCACAGTGCACACAACGCGTGCATGCACATTATTGTTTGATGAAAAAGTTGGGCGTTGCACCGACCTCTGCTGTTGTCACGTGCACGCACGCGGGTGCACCTATACTACACACATACACACGAACACAAACAATCGCAAATTTACATCGCGATACACACGCACATAAACACACACCCACACACACGTACCTACACGCAAACACGGTGCAGTCGCACGCAATGCAATGTCGGCAGTTTAACCGAACCCAAGGCCGGAACGAGGAAGAAGAGCGCGTGGGGTTGCAGCGGCTATAAGCTATAACATTATTGCACATGCGACGCAGCTACCCGCGTTGCACTGCGCTGCAGCACTGCAAATTCACGTCACGAGTCTCGCAACAGCACCGCGGTGTCCTCAAATTACACATTATTATTATTATTATTACTACTGTACTCAGTTAATCGTGAAAAAGAGATCAATAAATTCGTTACTCGCAGACCAAACTTGTACAAAACAAATCGATTCATTTTTATAACACGACCACTGCAGGGGAACAAAAAAAACTGCGCCCTCGGGGACGTGAAATAGAATTGAATATATTATACGAAATGCGATATCAAATTTTAAATTTATAAAAATACCTTATAGAGGTTAGGAGGAAAAATCGTTATTTAATAAGACGCAACGGTTAAATAACAAGAATGAGACCAGCAGGGAGTGTGATGAAAACAAGAGACAAAAGTTTTGAAAATACGTTTTTTTTTTCTTTTCAAATTTTTAATATTAAACAAATAATGAAATTAATGATATTCGTCTGATTAATAATAATATAATACGATTTTCCACGGTCGGAAAAAAAAAACGAATATTGTTACATAACCATGATGACATGTAATATGCTGCAGTGTACCTACACTGTCCGTCATTACACAGCGAAAATTCACTTTCCACAATATTGTAATCCAAACAAGGTTTATATGTTTAGATAATATATATTATATCGAAATCGGTAGCATATCGGTAGTAATAGCATATTGTTAACAATAGTTTAAACATTAGAGTAGGCTCTCTCCTTCTAAGTCCGATTCACAGATTTCATCTAACTCCAAAATATAAATTGAACGACGAATGTATTGACGAGGTCTCTCAAAATTATAAACCGGACGACGATGTCGATTGTTTCAATGATAGATATATATCATTGAATCTATATGTTTGAAATCGTCAACATAAAAATGTAGATAATATGAGGTCCATTTTTTACACCCCCTCCTCTTAATTGTCTTTTAGATAACTCCGAAACTAATAATTGTGCACAAACGATTACCTTTAATAAATATGAAAATTTCAAATTGAGGGGGGTGCAGAGATGTACCCCAAAAAATGAACAATTTAAACATTTTCGTTGCATACGAAATAAAACATCTGCTGTAAATTTTAACGACGATATTTTATAACCTACAGTCGATTTAAAAATATATAAAACATTAAATATAAGAAGAACGTTATAATGGATCGATAATCAACCGTAAATGTACAACAAAAAAAATTAACGTTGACATACCTACGGTATGATAATAAAAACAACAACGTCATCGAAAAAGTATTTCGAACATATTATCGCAACAACAAAAATGTTTCAATTTTATAATTTTGAAAGTGAAAATTGTAGTAGAAGATTTAATTTTAGAATCAAATTACTGTTACCTATATTATGCGAAGCCAACAAAAAACTACAATTTCATTATTAATTTAAGAGTAGAATTAACCTACGTGGCTACGTTATATTATTTTCGAGCTGGTCAGTGTTTTTTTTACTCTTATATTGTTAAAGCTATTTCCAATGTATATTGTATCTATATATAAATAACAATACAACTTACAAGTTAAATTACAAATTTCAATTACAACCTACAAAAACCTTAACGGTAATTTTAAATAAAGCGTACAAATCTGTATAGTAGGGGATCTATATAATATATTATATTATAATATATTCAAGGTAACTACAATTTTGAATTTTTATAATTCTTTTGACTTTTTTTACGTTTTCCAGAAAAATTTTAAAAATTGTCCATATTTATCAGCTATGATAAAAAAATATATAATAATAAGATATTTCTAAAAAATGAATAGGTAAAAAATATCTCAAAAAATATTCGACAAAAATGAACAATTATAAATACACCCGTGGCAAGAATTATATGAAATACACAAGGTATGTAATAAAAAATAATCTCCATAGTAGATACTGGATAATTATCTTTGTGTCAAGTTGTGATTTTAAACTATTAGTTCCTGATAATAGGGTTAAATTTTAACATACCCAGATATTATTATACAATTTTCAAAATTCAATTTTTAATTTAAATATATTTAAATTATACAAATCATACAATCCCCGATTTACCTAACTGTTTTAAAATTCTCTGAAATTTGCCGGTTTTCCTGACACACGGCAACCATCATGTATATTTTGTGACGGTAATTTAAGTAGTTTTTGTGGTCTTGAAAAATCACTACATTATAATATATACAATGTAGGTACCTACTAGCAGGTTAATTGTCTTTTCGTTCACGTAACAGCATATACAATAATGTATTTTAAGAACAATAGAATACAATAATTATATTTTCTATACCTAGAGGTACCATATACTAGACTTGTTTTCGATATTTTTTTATTATTACTCTTTTTAAGAAAATTATACATATATAAGAGTTTAAAACAGGAAAGTACATACATAATATAATATAGACCCTATGTACATAACGAGGACAATTCACGACAATGAATAATTATAATAATTTATACGCTTAATTCCTATCACGTTTCGTTGGTTTTTTTTTTTGGAGTGCAAGTCGTAAAAAATATCACTTTACTCGGTATAGTAAAAGTATAATGACTTAATATTTGTATTTTTTTGTAATTCGTGTGTAATTAGTTCTAAATATATAAATATTAATTTATAAGTATAATATTAACACTACGTTTTTGCTTACCAATTATAATAATATTTATCTGTTTTGAAATCTTTGTCTATTCGCGAATATAAATAATTAATAATAAATAACAAACTATACAACATACCTGAAACAAACAAACAAAACAATAATATGATTAGTAAAAAAATATAATAATATTCGAAATATAATCAAAAAGAATCAATATTTTTTCAATATATTTTTCAATACTCTTAGTATTTTCAGTATTTAATTCATTATAATACTTTTATGTAGTTAAATATAGGTAATTAAAATATGTTATCGATAATCATCATCAGCTACATCTATTCGAAAATTCTAACTAAAAAATAAAATATGTAGGTGTTACATAATTCATTATTATTTTTAATTAGTAAGCATGTACTCTTTTAATTAAATTGTATACCTATTATTTTATACTTAGTTTTTTATTTTTGTGTAATGTTCTATCAATTAACATTTATTCGAGTGTATTAATTTTTTTTTTAATGACTATGATAGTATTATAAATGAACATGTAGCGCAAAGAGTTATTTAGGTTATGACCGAGTGAAAATTAAGAAAAACAAATTAAATATCTACAAATAAATATTATACCGCGGTCAAGGGTGGATCCAGAACAAGATAACCGGAGGAGGGGGCGATTTTGAAAATGTACATAAGGCAATAATTTATGATGAATCTAGTTATACGAGTATATTGAGACTAAGCTTGTACTGGAAAGTGAACGAAAACCGCCAATGACATGATAGATGGACATTAATTCTATTTATATACATATTTATTGTATTGACAATTTAAGTTCGAAGTCGTTAATGTAATATTATTTTGAAAAATAATGGATAATTAAAAAAAACCGTAACTAATTCGCATTAATTCAGAAAATGATGTATATTTAATGCTTATTCAAATATGGGAAATAATATAATATAATATTATTAACGTTCGATTACAATAAAATTAACTATAATATAAGATGTAGAAATTAAAATGTAATGAATACGTAATTCATCTGTTCAGTGTGGTAACTCATTAAAAAGTAAAAATCGTTATTTGTTTAACTATAATAGTAATGATAATAATAATAATAAAAAAACCATAACGTTAATTTAATATGATTATATATGTTCGTAGAACCGTGATACATTCAATTTGTAATTGTGTTTTCTATAAATAACTGGGTCAACGTGTTTTATTAACGTACAAATTAGAACTTTAAGCACACAAAGTGTAATGATAATGCGCAAGATTATAGTTGTTACTTATTATAAACTAAGTGACCATTTTTTTTTCTTTTTACTGTTTGTGCAGCTAATTTATTTTCAGTCCCCATATACTGATTACCGAGTCGTGTTCAGTGGCATACCAACCTAACCTAACTTTTGTATGGGGAACTGGAGTGGAAAAACATTTTTCAATGAGGATGTTTTTTCAAATAGAAAAATGCACTTGGGGCACGTGCCCCCCACAAAATATATATATTGGTTATTTTGGTTGTTTCAGGTGTATTTTATCATTCTAAAAAATAGTTGGTCTTAATAAAAACCATTAGTGCCCTCCTCTCCTACGCGAAATCTTTGTATAAATAATATTTCAATAATTTTCTAATCACATTAGAGGTATATTTTATTAATATTATTGAAATTTAAATTTGTATGGTGTTTTTTTTTCTGTTATTTTTTAATTTTGATTTTGTCGTTTGAGTATTACTTACTAGTATGGTCTGTTCCGTTTTGAAAATAAACGCGATTTTAATCGCATGCGTTATAATAAAACGATTTCAATTCGAATAATTATGAACACTGTTTTTTTTTTTCTAAACGAATATAGATATACGTGTAACATAAAAAAAGACCAATTTTTTCTGAACCGGTAAGCGTGGAATTATGATAATTAAATAATATGAAATATATTATATAGGTACTTATGTATGCGACGGCGCGGAGGTCAACGTGCCAGGCAGTCGCCGAGTTAGAATTTTATTGCGCTACCCGTAGCCCATATCGTAGTATAGGTAAATTATAGGTCCTAATTTACAGGTCCGATTTATAACGTAGTTTACTGAATACGAATTATTTTACAAAATACGAGTTTATTATAATGATGACGGGCGGTTTTTGGGCACGCAGTTTTCTGTAATAGGTTTGGCCCGTGTATTGTTTGCTCCGCGCTCGATTACAATATTGGCCGAGAGCGGTTTTGTTTACCCGTACCACAGTCGTAATCGAAGGCATATAGTTTTTAATTATTGTTCGGAAATAAGTACAAATGTTTAGTTATCACATACGACATGATATCGCAGTAAACAAGTGAATTTTCGCGATGGTACCGAAGAGCAAACCGTCTGACAAAAGTGTTTACTGATATTAGTATAAGTACTTAATATCACGATTTCGCGGTCTGTCGCCAAAACGAATTAATACGAAAGACGATTGTCGACAATACGGTAATAATATGGTACGCGAATAATTATCAAAAAATAAAACAATTGGTTACAGTCATATACAATATACCATATACGTATTATAATATAATATATGTGTATTATATATTATATATAATTATTATATATTATATATTACCGAGTATTATTATTGTTGCGGGTATAGGAGGCACCGAAATGGGTAAAGTATAAAATCAATTCTAATGGAATTTTTTCTGATTTTTAATTCTAATACTATGATTCGGAGCAGGGCTGGTCCAGCGATCTGCTGTCCTAGAGAGTACTGCAGCGGGCCACTGTCCTCGGTCGGATTGTGGGTCGATGACCGAAAAGAGTTTATTCGCGTTTGTTTTTTTGGCATATAAATTGAAACATAATAATATTATAAACAATATAGGTACTGGCGCATACAAGAGGATAGGCGTGTAAGCGAAATTTCATAAGCGAAAAGCAACAACAAAAAAAAAAAAAAAACAAAACAAATGGCCTTTGGTAAAAAAAAAATGGATGCAATCGTAGTGCGTACGGAGCGCGATAACGAGACGACGTCGCGAACCGGGTCGAAAGTGCATCGATACGCGCGCAAACAATCGCCGTCGCATTATCATTGTTATTATTGCATACGACCGCGGCCGCCGTCGCACGGCGTACCTACCAATCGTGGATTATCGTACAATAGTAAAGTTATTAATCGCGTAATATTCGGCCGTAATAATAATGTACGCGGCATTACGCGTGCGCGCGAAAATACGAGCGGCGCGCGTACGCGGGGGAAAGAAGAAAAAAAAAAAAGAGATTAATTGGCGTGTGCGTAAATGTGCGTACGCGGGCGCGCGGCACTGCGGCGGCCGCGGCAACGGCCAAATGTGTTAAAATTCAGTGTGTCATCACTGACCTGGGTTAACCGTTGCAGTTTTATTCCTGTTGCTGTTGCTGCTGCTGTATACGATACGTATACTACGTATATATATATATATATGTATGTGTGTGTGTGTGTGTGTGTGTGTGTATATATATACGCTCGCGCGGAGAAGCACACGCGAAATGTTATCGCATCGGGCGGCCGCACGGCGGCGGCGCTTGCGCTCTAGTTTTCCAGCCCGCGACCAACGGCGGCGATTGCACCCGCGTCCGTCCGCTACACCGCGACGGATTACGACGGCGGCGGCAGTCGCCCGGAGCACGAAACGTGAAATACAATACGATGACGTGACGCGTCCGATAGTCGTGGCCGCCGCCGCCGCTACGATCAAATTCCGCACCCTCCCACGGCACGCGACCTCCTCCCACCGTCCGGATTTGCAAAGGGGGAAAAAACCGCCGTCATCGATCTCTTTTGTTGTCGTCGTCGCCGTCCCTCGGTCCCTCCCCGATCGTCACCGAACCCCTCGCGCCGCGTTGTTACACACGCGCACGCACGATGACGACGTTTACAATAATTTATTATCCTCGTCGTGCTTTTATATTAATAAATAATATTATTATTATCGACTTGCAGGCGGGAACAGACGTATCGCTCGAGTTCAATTTCCCGCCACTACCCGCCCACACACCCGGGAAAAAACAAAAGTAATCAACGAGAGTCGCCGCCGCCGCCACTCGATAGATATTACGATGACGAATAATATACCGCTGTAAAATGGTTATTGCACGGAAATATAATAATACACCGAATAAGGTTTTCGGGAAAATGAATTTGCGAGGCGGATGAGAAAATCATATTTCGAACGGTTATTTTAGTCACAATATAAAAACGATAACGTTGTAAACGAGAGAAAATTGCACACGCGAAATAATATTTCAAATCAACCCCATCAACAGATGGGATTGTGCCACTATATTTTTCTTTTTTGGTAGGAAGGTTAGAAAGGAGAATATATAATATTGTAGAGTAATAATTATAAATTATATCTCCAAGCAACGATAAATTATTGCTAACGAAAAACGATTCTGACTTCTGAGCTGAGTATTATTAGTAGTATTTTTTCCCTTGCTGTAGGGATTACTCAGAAATCAACAAAAACTATGCAAAAAATTGTCGGTAGGTATTAAATTTATTAAGAAAACTACAGGGAATAGTATAACATGACCTTTCCGTTGCAACAATCAGATCAAAGATGCTAAAAGAAAATTTTTAAAAAGACTAATTGAAGCCAGAATTTCAGGTAAAAAATTGCTTAAACACATACAAAACATTAAACAAATCATAGTAAAAGTATACGTTTCTTACATCGGTCCGAGTCTAAAAAAACCGTTAATAAAATAGAAACTTTTAATTTATTAAGACATTTATTTTTACAAACAATTAAAAAGAGTAGTTATATTGATCTTTTTTTAAAACTGTAACGCACTTTGTGACTATTTATAAGTACGTATTTATGTACTAAGTCAATTTTATAATGATTTATATTGAAATTAACATCTCTCGAATGACTTTTTGTATTTTACAACATAAACGAAAAGCACGGTGAAAGAAGATTTCTTTATTAAAAAATTCTACGGCGAATGAGTCAGTCTGAACAAGACATCGTTTTTTACTTTTTCCACTATTTTAAATTTAAAAATTCGAAGAACGTCACACGCATTATAAATTTTCGAGGTCAGATGAAAAAACAACGATGAACGGCCACGTAGATAATAATTTTAGAATCGTATTTTCTCGGAATTACGTACATATAATTGTAATGTGTGCCCACGCCAATGTGATTCATATGCGTGCATTTTCATTGACAATTTATTATTGTATTATGATGAATTTTATCATCGGTATTAAATACAAAATTTTTGGTAAAAAATTAAAAATTAAAAATCGAACTTTTTATTTTATTATTTTTGAAAAAGTTGAAGATAGCCATTTTATAGAGTTTACTCTTCTGAAAATTTTGACATGTTCCAACTTTATATTTTCATTATATTCGCGATTTTTAATAATTTTTTAAAGTTCAGAGAAAAATACCTTTAATTATGCATGAAGTTTTATATGCATATCATCGCATTCGCTAATTTATTATTATTACTATGGTTAAATGACTTAACACTTTTTTTCTCGGAACTTAAAAAATGATTAAAAATTACCAATTTTTTGAAAAAAAATGATACGTTAAAATGTTCAGAAGAATTATAAGCTTTATAAAATGACTTTCAAAAGATCTTAACATTTTTTAAAAATAATAAATAAAAAAATTCTTAAGAAAAAATAAAAAATAAATTGAAATATTTGTAGTTTTTATAACCGAGACTAGTGTACATATATATATAAAAAAAACGACCGAATTTGATTATTTTTATTATCTTCGGAGATATAACAATGTGTCTATTTTCGAGGGACACCCTGTATATATAGCCTCGCTCTAATAGTTTTCACTGCGTATCCACTTATTCTATAGATGAATATAATATTCCTTAATCCCTATTATATGTACGCCTACTCGGATGAATTATTCCGTTTTAACGTTCAACGTGCGTTACGACTTTAACGTTGTTTTTTTTCCGCTTCTTTTTTACATTATAAAATACCTTAAGACTATACGACCGCCGCCGCCGCCGCCGGATGTAGCTAATGAATATTCCGTATATTATTATTGTTTATTTTTTATCGACCTTAGCGATCAACAATTAAATATAAGTACGCGCTCGACCGCAAGAAATATACGTTATTCGGATTTTCCATGTATACTTAAAACTCATTGTATTTACTCGGTTTGTTTGTTTTTTTTTTTTTCTAATGACATAAACTGTTTTACAGACCGTAAAGACGAATAACAGTCTATGTACGTTTTGAAAACCGAACACATTAATAAGTGGTCTCGTTCCTAAGAATTTGTTTCATCTGTCTCGCGCGTAATATGTAGCAAACAAATGCATTCTGCATTTCTGGGATTTTGACTCCCCGGTCGAGTTAAGAGCAAAAAAGCACTGTTCATTATACATTTTATAAAAAGTAGAGTTATATTTCCTAAATAGATGCTATGAATGATTTTCATTTTTTATTTTATCAAGATATTATATAAACGTTTTTTAATTAAGTTTTAACCATTTAATAACTTGTTAAAAATACAAATATGAAAAAATAAATCTTAGAATCCACATAGCGAAAACTCTTCTTAAAAATGTATTGCGGGCTCTTTTGCGCTAAACTGCGCAACCGAAGAGTCACAATAACGGAAACGCGAAACACCTTTGTAGCTATATATAGTGAGATAGAAGGAGACAACTAATGTTAGTGAGGTGCCCTCACCCTTAAGAAGAAGTGATACCGGAATGTGCTGTCTCTGTCTTACACACGTAAGACTGTATCATACGACACAGTAAATTCGCGTACAGGCGTAAAGCAGGAACAACATTGTACCGCTATAATCATAATATCAGAGTGAATATTGACTTATTATAAAACTTAAAAGTAAAAACAGTATCTGTGCAACCAAGCCGAGTTTTTCGACATTTTAATTTTCAAGCGAAATATACTTGTATATACGTGAATTTATTATAATAATTTAAAAACGCTTAAATCTCGTTTTAAAACGTCGAAAAACATCTATATGGCTGCATGAATAATGTCCTTACCTTTGAGTTTGATAATAGATGATGAATTCGCTCTAATATTAAAATTAACAGCACAAACTTGCCTCTTTTGAACGCAAATTTGCTGGATGTACGTTTATAAGACGTAGACGAGCATCACGTTCTTTTTAAACAGTGAAATTATTTATAAATGGACGTACCGACCTTTACACAATAGTATATAATATTATTCTACACAATTTTTTTTTTTTAAAGTAGACTTTGAAAAAACCGTAAAACGAGTAAATAATTATTTATCTTAATTATAAAACATGATGAACAAATATGTGTGTGTATGATGTTAAATGTATATTATGCATAGAAAACGAAAAAGTTTCATATCAAGTTTTCTACATATTATAATATTATGCTTAAATGCAACGCGGTTAATATTATTCTTGAAAACAAAAACTATATAATTTTTCTAACTACGCAGAAATTGTACGTTTGAAAGTACCTATATGTTTATTGTACTCGGGCCGAATGTACGGAAAACCGAATCCCTTTCGACCGGAGTAATGGCGGAAAACCGGGAAATAGTAATAGGCGTGATGCGTGACGCGGCTTTTACCCACATTTTCGGGAGACGAAAAATGTTCGCAACGAAAATCGAATACTTCCCCCGCCCTCACTCACTTTTCGGACGAAAAAATTTTATTATTTTCGATAATAATATTATGCCCTGAATCCCAATAGTTTTATTATACCGACCGCGTGTGTTTATAACGTGTTGCGCAGGCGAGCGAAAAACGACAACAACTGTTGAAATGCGGGCGATGTTGCGTCGCGGCATAAATTTGACGGGACGACCGGGAAGAGTGAAAAAAATGCCGTCCTTACGCGCGCGACAATTTACGGGGGGGGGGGGGGGGGAGTGACAGGCGGGAGGGTCGAAAAAAATCGAACGCTATTAATAGCGCGGAAACCGCAAACGATTGGCCGCGTTCCCGGTGACTTCAGAGATCGGCGGTGGCAAGAGCTGTACAGTACGACGGCGGGCTCGGGGGTCCGTCCGTTGGCCCGTATTATTATTGCGCCTATATTATTATACCTACACGCTCGCACGGGGCCCGTTTCTTTTTATTATTATTTTTTTTTTTGCTACAATCGCCGACGCCGCCGCCGTCATTGTCCAAGGTTATGGTCGACGACGACGGCTGCGTCGTCCCATTGCATTTTTATCGTCACCGCGGCATAATGTAAAAATACGAGCGAATCGCGTTTCCGCGCAGTCGTTTTTTTTTTTATTATTATTATTATTAACCTACACGACGCACCGGAACACACACGGAGTACAGCAACATTGCAACGGTTGCATTTTATGGCGGTTCACCCACCTCCCTATATTATAATACGACCCGGAGCCGCGGATACATTGTTTACAACGCGAGACGATGCTCGCGCGTTTCGCAATTTATTTATAGATTGCGTGACATTAAGCCGTTGCGAAACGCCACCACCGCCGTATCGTCGTTCCGTGTGCCGATTTGTAAAAAAAAAACCTTTTTAGAGAGCGATCGCGTCGGGCGGACGGACGTCGCACATAACATGCACGTCACCCAGTGTAAACGATGTGGGGCGGGAAGGGGGGTCACGACGGACGGGGAGCCGGGGGAGGGCGGAGGGGGCGTCCGTGGTCTCTGGGCAAGGTCACGTGCACTTGACACTATATATTAGCGTAGTAGTTCAGAAATGTTGTTTTCCTCAACTTATAGTACATAATATATTATATTTATACGTACCTACTATTGTACAGGCACTATTATTTTTTCACATAAAACCCTCTCGACAATATTATAATAGTTAACGATTATTGTAAGAGAATATTATTGTTGTTTCGTAATGCGAACGTGTATCATCACGATTATACGCGTATTATAATGACGAATAAACCAGAATATTATAAAAATACGGGTACCTATTTTATAACAACCGGTCGTAAACTTTGGCCGTTCGTTCGCAGTTTATAATATAAAATATTATGTTGCAGTCAGTAATGCTAGAGGTTATCTGCAGAATTTTGTATGGTTTTTAATTTTTTTTTTTTTCTATTATTATTTCTCTCATTAACAACACGCATTAGTTTCGACGAGTAATTATACATTTTAAACAAAGTTTATACAACCTTTGTAATGCATATACTTACCGAATAGAAATAATATTAATAACGCACTACTTCGGTATTTTTATGAGAAAAATATTGCAAATTACTCGGTTAACGTTAAATAACACACCGTCGTAATTATCTAACACTGTATTATATAATATGTTTTAAAGTGATGCGTGAAACTTTATAGTACATTTTTACAGCCATAGCAAATATTTTCACAGACAACGGAGGAAAGGTGGGAAAGCACAACTCGTTTGTAAACTCACGGCATTAATAAACAATATTATAATAAGACTTGTTAATACCGATTACTTAATAATTATTTACTGTACCAACAACTGGTTCGTTTCACAACGAAAAAAGATAATAAATATATTACAACTTATTGACTTATATTTGATAATATTGCTGAATTAATCACAGTGAGGTAGGTATCTAGAATACGTTTTATGATTTACTGTATATGTTTATTGGAAATACATAATACGCTATTTCTATCACAGATAATTTAATAATCGAATATGTGCAATGCGAGACCAGTTTCCGCCAAAACGAACCTCTGCCTTTTCCACCAATACACGTTCCTATACATTCGGTATAGAAAAAGTGCAATCCTTTCGGTTATTTTGGTGGGAAACGGCGACAAGCCCACCTAGTCGTATTTCGTTATTAAATAAAAAATATCAACTATATTATTAACATCAGTGTTTTCTGAAACTCATTATCTTTAACGCGTTTAAAGATAATCGATAAAGTTTTGGGTTGGAACAAATAGTTAAAAAAAGAATTTCGTAAATTCGATTAATTATAGGTATTCGTAATTATAGTGGTTGAAACGGCAACAAAAGTTACGACGGTCGGTAAAGGGGTGGTTAAGGAGGTAATTTATCATATAGATGAAGGATTACAAATCCGTCCAGTATAGTTTTTGAGCGATACATGATGTGTATACACATACACAACTCGTTATAATTGTATTATATATATATATATATATATACATAGATTAAAAAAATCAATATACAATTTTGAAAGGACGCGTGTTGTATTACAATATCCGATGCGATACGAAAGTGCATCAGATTTTTGTGCATTTAGTCTTGTTTACGTGCGATATACCCAAGGCAAAGATAACAATATAATAGTAATTCGACCAGATAAAACCTTAGTGCACACCCTCTTGAAAATATTCAAGGCTATAATATAATTCAACTGAACAAAATCGCAGTATGCAATGATCGTTTTCAACGATATTATTATTATACCAACATTATTATTACTCGTATAGGTACGCAATTCAAAACGATAACAATAATAGTAATAATAATAATAATAATAATAATAGTAATAATAATAATAATAATAATAATAATAATGATAATAATAGTAATAACAATGTTGGCATTCTCTCGTCGTCCATCTGACTGTCTTGCCTCTTTTGCTGTTCTTCTCTCTTTCAGACATCTAATTTAATTTTTATCCATAACGAGAAATGACCGCAGTCGCTTCTCACGGATAGCGTACACACGACAACGAGACGACGTGTATAATAATATTGTACACGCGGTACCTTCTCCTCCTCATTTTTAACCCGATCCATTGCACCGATCCCCCCCTGGATGCACACTTGCCAATCGCATCGTGGTCGTGTGATCCTCTCTAGTAACCTTCAAACGGCTGCAGCAGTCAGTATAAAAGTATTAAACAACGACGACGACGACATCACATCGCGTATTCTATCGCGTACTCCCGCCACCGATGGCCTTGGCCAGTCGTTTTTATTATTATTATATATGTATTTTGTTTTTTATAACACCGTCCTTCAATGTATACATAGTTCCCCTCCACCCTATTATTCCTACTAAAAAAAAAATGTATACATATAGATACCACAGCAATAATAATAATTGTGAAATTAATTTACATACATCCTCTGATAAGCCCCATACACCCGCAATTCGACGTTAAGTACTTCTTTACCCACCAATGGCCGGGACTCATATGACCAGCGGAACACGCCTACCCGTTCGCTACTTGTTCTTCGGACAGTGTACACAATATTATATAGGTAATAATAATTTAATAGTACGTAGAGTTTTAACGTAAAAGTATATGATGTTATTAAATACATTATTCATACACGATAAAACAAAAAAAAATTGTATTTAATATTATCTCTATAGTGTTTTAAACGGTAATCAGATAATTATGGGTTTTTTTTGTCTTTAAGCTTTTCTACCAGACATTTTGGTCAAATCGAAAACTTTTAAGGTTCTTTGCTGTAGAATTTGTTTTTATCTTTAGTCAATGCATTGAGAAAGTAATTTTTTTATAGTACATAGTAATATTTTTTTTACAAAAGAAATACTGGTAATTTTTCGTATAACTTTTATTGATTTTAGGGTTACTTTGGAAACAAGGGAAAGATATGACGAATGCTCTGCTCGAAATCGTTTTTCGTTAGAAACAATTTATCGTGGCGATACAGATATAAATTAAATTACTTTATATATCCTCCCCTCAATCTTTCTCCATAAAATAGTGGCACACCTATCAGCAGCATATGCAACCCCTGTCATAGATTTAGCGTTGTAAAATACCCCATTTGTTAACGGTTATTGAAAAAAAAGTTTATTTTATCAGCGGAGTAGAATGAATTATTTTCGGTACCCCCCTCCGAGATATAAAAAAACCTGACTTTATTACAGGGGACTCTATAACTTATTAGCGCAAATATTGATTTTGACTAAAGGGGAAATACTGTAACAGTATTTATAGGTAAAATAAAAATGTCAAACGAACATCAAAAACAACTTATGTTTTACGGTAAACAGAAAAAAAAAAAATGTTTAGCCACTGTAGTGTATATAAGGAATAAGAAAACGGTTTTAAATATTATTTGTTTGAAAAAAAACCATATTTGGTAGGAGCTTAAATTCAAAAATATTTTTTCATACAAATTTCTAATAGATATTAATAATAATAATTTATAAAATAAATTTATGGGAACCATACTAAACTTTATTAAGATAAAACATATAAAATAGGTTAAATCACTGTGAATTCACAACCATTGTTTCACGACATTATCCTAAATTAAATCCAAAGCGGCACATTTAAACCCATTAATGAAAAAAGATGGCATTAGGCAATAAATAAATAAATAAATAGATAATACTAAGAATGGATGTACAACTTTTGTAGGTGATGGGAAGTTGGGAAAGAAAGATATATAAAATGATTGCTTCATATCTATAAGCAATGATAAACCATTGCTAACGAAAAACAACTTAATATATGTTTTGAAATTTTTTTTTTTTTTGGCGATTCTCATCAAAATTTGATCTTAAAACCATTATATATATTAAAAAAAAAAATGAACAGATTATACTCGACTTTTCATTTACCATTAAGTAAAACATATAACAGACTTCGTCTTAAATTTTTAGACATTTCTGTTTAGTCAATCAATTTTATCAACATAATACTTACTAAATAAAAACTAAAATCATTGTCAAGTGCCTATAAATAGCTCAACAATTGCCAGAATGTTTTCAGCAGTTTGCCACGTCTAGAAAAAACTAATATAGATTCTATGAAAATTGAAGGTCTCGACGATTATTTTTAACCGAATTACCGATATTATAATATTTTAAAAAAAATAACAGAAACTATTTAGAAACAAATCAAATAAGATTTAACATAAAACAGATAAATTATAGGTAGGTAAGTAACCGCTAGAATGACCGTGAATATTATAATGTTGGGTATTGTAATGATATTGAAAAATGTTTGATAATAGTAACAAGGTTGTGTGCTATACAACAACTCATTGATTTACATTTCCCATTTAATGGTCATTGTGAACACCAATGAATCTCTATATAACCAACAATGGGCTGTATAGTATATTATTATAAACTACACGAAAGAAAAATACGTTACCTATACGTATAAAACAGGTTTAAATGAAAAAAAAGAAAAATCATCACAAATATAATTTAAATAGCGCAGGCGGCAGTGATGATGGATATAGATTATTTCACACCATTCACGTTTGCATTAATTTATAAATAATTGGATAGGTAGGTAGGTGGGTAAGTGAAGGAAACTAGAAAAATCCAATCGCGCTTGAATTATGGGATACGTAACAATAAATATATTAAAAAATATTATATACCTAATACAGTTAAATTAAAACTAGAATTCAAAGAATCTCATCAAATCGACACTGCGTAATACAATTTTATAACAATATTTCTGATAAAAGCCAATTCGTTCTACGGGTGTGTTGATCGAAAAGCCCAGTTCCGATTTCCGGGCCAATGACCGGAACTGCAACTCGATTAGATTACGAGCCATTTCATTATTGGCCTTTTGTGTACACTCAGTATATTTCTATTGTGTCCATTATATACTTATATATGATCAAAATATACTTTGAAAAAATATATTATAAAATAAGTCAAACGTCATAATATTAATTTTCGAATAGCTTTGTTCGTTTTTATACTTTTTATACGCCGGACAAAGGGTTTAAAATTATATTTTTTTTTAACATTACAAGTGCAAAAAAGAAAAATACAAAGTAATTACATTTTTCCAATTATAAAATTCAGAGAACTATATTTTTATAACAATTTGTTTAAATAATATACCTAGCAGACATGGAAATAGAAAAATACAATTCGTTATGTATATTATAAATTATTATTACTATATAGTTATGTACAATTATTGAATGGGGCATAAAATCATTTTTTTAATAAAAACTAAAGCTAATATAATTTAAATGAAGTGAGGAAAAGTGTATTATATTATTTGCTAAATGTGTTTGTTAGTAGAATATTCACAGAAAATAGGGACCATTATATGCAACCTACTGATGTCCGTTAGTGAATTCATTATAGACATATTATAATTACATTTATTTGCGATACACGCAATACACTTTGAACGGACCAATTTGGGCCAAATAAGCTCTAACACGGGAATTAGTGTTATTCTATTCAAGTAATACAAGTTTTGGGTTGAATTGCAAAATTAATTTCATTTTATTCAATTTTTTCAACTACAAACATCCCTGCAAAATGAAGTCGGGTAGGGATGAAATGTTATGAATACATATTGTTGGTATCAAAGATGTACTTTTTGGGGTTTTAACTATAAACCCCGATCTCAACTGCGTTTTATGATAAGATTTCACCATTTTTTTTTTTTTTTTTAAGTATTTTAGTTGTATCATATTAGTATTGTATTATCAGAGTATTAAGTTATATGTATTGTTTAACAAAAGGAAATTCTGTGGAAAATTCCGACACCAATGCTGCTCACGGGTTTATTTTATTGCGATTTTTAGAATTCTCAATATACTCAGTTTCATACAGTATATGTCAAATCGAAAATATTTAATACAATAATTTAACTATGTTTTGCAATTTTAAAAAATCAAACAATTGCTTGAAAAACTGCTCTGAAAATATAATATGTAAAAGTATAGAACTGCTTTTAAATTTGCTTTTGAATGAAAATTAATTTTTGGGCGCATTGGAAAACTAACCAACGAATACCTATTTATTACTACAATATAATCTTTCATTAAATATACTAATAAACGATAAACATTGTTAAATTTACTGGGATTTATGACAAAAACTATGCAAATTGATGATATTATGACATGAGAAGTTTCAGAAAATTGTGCAAGTTTGTTAATTATGAAATACTTTATATACGACTTTTAAAATGGAAGTTACGAATAATATAATATAATATTATTATACGGTGGCGTGTAAAAGTTGTATATTGGAAAATTACCGTGGTGATGGAATCAGTGACCTAAATATTATCTAAATACACCAACAATATATGATATAGCTGTTACAAAATTTACTTTTCATTAAACAAATTCAATAACAATGCAAATATATATATATATATATAAAAGATAATGTCAAATACGGTATAGGTATACGAAAAAAAAAATTAATGGATTTCTCGTAACATTGTATATTGCACATACAATATAGTATCCAGTAGATAATATGCAAAAAAATAAAAGGTTAATTTGAAAAATATTTAAGAATGGCACGATTAACTTTTTTTTTTAATATATACTTAAAATAAGACGCATTGAGATGGTAATAATACAGTACCGCGTATAACAAACAGGATTGCCAACATCGTGCTTTTTTTTTTTTACTGCCTTTATCATAATAATATTATTGGCTTGAAACAAAATTTAAATTTTTTAACACACGTTATTATTTGCAACGAAATATTTTCAACGCTTATTAAATATGTTTACCGCCGGACGCGTTCAGTGCGAAATATTGTTCAGCGAGTCGGCTTCGAAATAATGGATCGGACCAAATTCGCAGTGATCGCGATGAAAGAAAAAAATGCGATTTTGTGTTTATGATATTTCCTATGTTGAAATAAAACGATAACACGTCGTTCACAAAAAACCGTTACAATAACAATCGAAAGCGCTGCTGATAAAAATACAACGAAACGGTCGCGTTTAAAACAAACAAATTCCAACTCCGTCCAATTGAAAACACTGTCGTTTAAGAGTTGGGACAATATTGGACGCTAACTATTTTACCCTTGTTTATGATATAGCAACCACGATAACGCATGGTGGGCGCTGGGTATTAACGTTCGAAAACGGCCGCAGTACATCATTATAATAGACGTTATAGGCCGTTATTATTCTAGAATATATTATAACGGATATTTTATTTTGCTGAAAACGTACTATACTATAACACTATATAATATATAATAATATACAACGCGTTTCGGCTGCGAGCCCGGTATAATACGAGCAATAATAATAGTATAATATTAAATCACGCGCGGCGTACTGCAGTCCCCCTGCAGCAACCGACACGGCCGCCGCCGCTGTTCTTTCCCACCTTAAATGGAGACGCATCTGCGGTAAAAATATTCTCATCATCAGCTGTTTCCGCGGGGCAGCGAAGGGTCGTGCGCGTATATTTTCCATGCGTCGCGTTCGCGCGAAGGTCCGTCCGCCACCCTACTGCGTCGAACCGTTACACGCCCCAGAGCCCGGCAACAAAACGCGCGCGACACGCACGTGGGGAATTCACCCATTTCTCGCCGCGTGTACTCGTATAATATAATATATTATACAATATTAGTATTATTATTATTATTTACGGGCTCTTTTATGAAATACGGGATTTTCGTTTCGTGATGCCGACGTGCGCGCGGTCGGCACAGAACGATGACAACGCGTCGATTCGATTGCGATTTTTGATTTTGTTTGTAACGTTACAATAACAAAATAATAATATGACGTTATCGCTCGGCGAAATAGAATGTTCTGCAGCTATATAATAACAATAATAATAATAATGGTTTGCGAACGTTTAGAAAAAAAATATATAAAAAAAAATTAGGTTTTACGCGCCGATGTCAATATATTACGCGGTCACGGTGTACCATCGTCCTTCGTCGAGGACGTGTCGGCCGTCGGTATAATATTGAACGTACTATAGTTACTCGGAATGAGAATAGTGGAAAAAAAATTTAAAAAAAAAAAACCGCGAAAGCGAAAGAAACGTCCCGTGAAAGCGAAAACGGTTGAGTTGGTTCGTCAATAAATTTCACAACGGCGACGACGACGACGATGACAACGATGATATTGTGTAATGGAATTGTATTATGTATATAGGTACTGCAGCAAAACTATACAGTCACTACTCGTGAGCAAATGACAAAAAATTAATTTTAATTTTAATACTAGCGAGATTAACAATAATGAAACAAAAAATTGTCCAAGCTATTATTTTCTATCTTATAAAAAAACCCCGGATCAATCTAGTCTGCGATTTGTGACGTTTTATCTCTTCTACTTGGTACGTAAAATTGTGGTGTTTAAACACATATAATAAAGCTTTAATAGGAGAATATTTTCGAAAGCTGTAGGAAGTTTTTTTCTAAACACATTTTCGTCACACAAATCTAAACGTCATAATTTATGTTTTAAGTAACTCAATCTGCCTATGTCGTGCGGTAGTAAGACTGAGACAATACACGCCGGTATGACATCCTCTTAACCAACAACAAATCGCAGACGTACCCCACGTAATTATAATTAATTCGTTGGTGTAATTACGACTGCAACGCGACTTTGTGCCAAAATGCACTCAATTTCGTAGATATCGGAAATGCACATCGAGAGTGTGTCTCGGTCGTTGCAGTGAACTTGAATCGGACAAGTGCTATTGACGTATACGTAAAATAAATTATTGTCAGTCGGGATGATTTTTAATAATTTATAATTATAAATATGATTTATATTTCGGTCTGTCTATAAGTCGGTGGGCCTTTTTTTTACGCACCTATAATAATGCACATGTTTTAATGTTAACGATACGAAAATATTAAAGTTTACTTAAAACGTTTGGTTTCATTAAAATTCGCGCGTAAAAACGTTTGCGACATTTGGATTTGGCACTAGCCGTTTTAACCCGTCGTGTATGTCGGGCACACTACTGTTGTGTATTTTTCGATGACACGACTTCAATAAAACCAAATTATTGTTTACATATTTTACAGAACTATCACGTGTCGTTTTACCGTTTGAAAACTATTTTTACCCCCTACCACGCGTATTACTATACAGTCATTGACCTCAATAATAATTTTTCGATTTGAGTATGTATATAATATGTAATAAATCGATACACAGGCCGCGGAAATGACCGACGACGAGTTAGACGCGAAGGGCAAATTCGATAAGTTTAACGGTGTACTCTGCGAAATAGCGGCGAAGGTTGCTGATGACCTAGTTTTAGGAACTGCGGCAGACCGCGCGATGGTCCCCGAGAATCAAAAGAGTAATACCCAGACAATAATAAATACGACTGCGTCAGAAATTACGGTTTCGAATTACAGAAGTGTATCATAGAATATTCGCAGGGATAAATATTGTTAATATATATAGGATTAAAATATACAGACATATTTCGTGAAAAGAGCCGATACTGGTTTGCGGGCGTGCCGCTGTTGTCTTGATGCGAAGTTGAGTGGGTATAAGATAGTACACAGTATAAAGTTATTTTATTCATATCCGTATGCAGCAATGACCGATCGTTGATGTCGAAAAACGATTCCGAGCGTAATTCGTTTAAATGCGTTTTGAAATGCGGTGATTTTTACGGTTTCCACTAAAATCTGAACTTTAAAAGATTATAAAAAAAAAAAAAACCGACTACATTACGTTAAGCTTATTTTTCTGCCATAAAGGACTTGTAACGAATTTCGTGTAAAATTGTCGAGCATTTTTATTCGGCCTAAACGATTTCATCCCTATAAAACCAAATAAAAACTAAAGACTCGAGAATTTAAAATTCCTATAAATAGAATAAAAATCGCCAAAATGTTTTAACCAAGCCTTACCACGTCTAGAAAGAGCTAATGCAAATATTCCGTGAAAATGTCAGGAATTTTTAACTAAATTTTTCATAAGAATTATAAATGATAGAAACCGTTATTTCGTAAATATTGTTAAGAAAATTACCAACAAATGTCCTTCCTAATGTACAGACTTGACAAAAAGTGGCTTTCGGAAAAGATACTAAACTTGAAAATCGGAAAATAATGTTCGGTAGAAAAGCCGTGTGCATACAGAAAAATGAAAACGCATGGCATATTAAAACCAACACAATACATTTCTCGTTGCGCCCGGATTTTAAAAAGTAATTTTTTACGTGATTTTTTTTTTTTCAAAATGTTTCAACTAAAATCTAATATTATATATTTAACGACAGCAAAATATAAACATATTCTCTACAAACACACATGTCTTAAAAATGCGTCCTGTTTATTCGTATACGAACATTACACACGGCCATATGGCTCCCATGACAAGGGGTTCACTGTACCTTAGGGTAAAATATTGTATGTGATCGGGTCGGACCCATTCCGAAGACGCGTCTAACAACACTCGCGTATAATATTTTTATCCCTATATGAATTTGTACAATGTAGAATATGCATTTTTAATGTTTTTTTTTTCATCTTCATTCCTATATACTAATTTACCACATAATGTATACGATTTAAAAAAGGTACCTTTTCTGTATGCCGAGTAGGTGGTAAACTATACATCATTATAATAATGGGATATGGTTGCAGAAATTATATTATTTTTTCGAATATTTCCACTCTTGGATATTATTAAAAAACAGATATGTATTTATTTGCCCGTATAATAATGATCCGTTTAAAGATGCTGTACAAACACGGTATATTATTATAATCCGTTGGGAATTTATAAAATATCAGGATTAGATTTAAACGAGATTTAGCTTAAAATATTATATTACACTGTGCACGTGTCACTATATCACTGTATTAATGTGATGGTGGTTTTACAGTATAAACGCAATGCATTCTCCCACCGTGTAGCATTTAGTAAAAAAAACCAGCATACCTACAATGATTTCAAACGTTGTATTTTACAAGAATACTTAGCTTTCCAGAAATAAACTATGCTTAATCGAATATTCAAAAACGACAGCATATATATTTTAGATTTTGAGCGTAGCGAGGAATGTATTAGTTTTACTATGCTGTTTACTTTTTTTTTTGTTTGTGTACAACTTTTCTACCAGAAATAAATCTTGCTTCAATCAAAAAATTGACAAAGAGAGGTATTTTCGATTTGGGGTTTTTGTTATAATTCGATTGAAAATAACCTTAGAGACGTGACATTTTTACAGAATACTTATTTTAGACTTTTTTAATTGTGGTAAAATTTTTAACATATTCTGGAGATTTGTTAGTTATTTTTAAGCATTTGACGTTTTCAAGTATTTTTAGTTTTTAAACTATTCAAATCGTTTCGATGGAACAAAACTGTTTGAAAAGTGTACACAAGGTCCACGATATAAATTAGTAGCAAATTAAAAATCGAGCGATATGTAGTCGGTTTTTTATACAATTGTTTTAAAATCAAATTTAAATCGTAAAAATTAAGGCATCAAAACTTAAATAACCAAATTCCGCTCAAAGTCCTATTTCGATTTAGCGTTGCGTACAGATATGTATAAACCAAACAACTTTATGTATCCAATACCTTCCCAAATTCTTACTCCCAATAGTGGCACACACATAAGCAATATTTATTTATTTATTTTTTTTTTTTATGATACATATTATATCTAATATATAGATATAATTTCAAGTAGTATTATACTATATACTACATATAGTAGCCGGTATTTTGTTTATGATTTGGCTACTTTCAAAATGACAACGTTACATTTTAGTGTTACGTAATCTACATAGGTATAATACATATTATTATGAATGCACAATCGAAAAACCATTTGAGCAATAAACATAATATATTAGGAAAAAAAAAATAGTAATAATTTTAATATGGTTGCTGTCTCCATACAAGTGTTTGGCGTTTACACGAGAATACAAAAGTCGAAAAATACACTTTACGAAACGTTAAAAAAAAAAATCAGCAAGACAAGTAGTTTTTTATTTCGTGGAAAATAAAACATAATAATAATTATTGTATACATTTGAGTTACTCTGTTCAAACTATAAACAGCTATAATACGTGAACTTTTATCGCTGACTAAAAACGTATATTATCTGTACTATATAATAGTCTGTTTTTTTTTCCAAATATTTAAAACGAAAATTTAAAATCAAACGGTTTTTAAGTATGAATATTTCGTTTTAAAATACAGTATAATTTGTTTCGTTTTATACAAGGACCAACTGCAGCAGTTACGGTTGTCAACCTATTCAAACATGCTCGATTGGTGTCAAGGTACAGACAGCGCAACACGCGCTTGTGTAAAAGTTAAAAAAAAACTTAGTAAAGGAGGCGGAGGAATAAACACAAAAGGTAATATTGTCATTACGGTGTACGTATATACTGGAAAGTTATTTTATCACGTGTTTACTAATTGTGATTATTGTTACAATTTTGAATGTGAAAATATTTTAGAGTAAGACAAAAATATAATCGACTTTAAGACTCTTCTTCGGATTTTGTTATACTTTACGATACGGACTATACGGATACTTAATATTTTTTTATAAGTTTAACACGCCTAAAATCAGCGATAATATATATTATTTTAATGTCATGCAATTCTTTGAACTGAAATTAAAATATAGAATAGGTATCATAATATGTGGTTATATAGTAATACAATGATAATGAAAAAATATATTTATGAATATGAGAACTATTATAACAATATATTATACATCATTCCAATTAGTTTTAACGGTCTTTAATTATATAAAATATATACGTTCGAAATTAAACTTTTGATGTCAAGGTCTGAAAAAACGACAACTCGAATAGGTTCTTCCTTGATTAATGCAGTATAATTGAAGTATAAATATAAGTGATGGTTAAATTAATAATTCTGTATCGAATGCAGCACGGTATGTATTATCAATGTTAAATATGATTTTAATAAATAAAATACTAAAATACTTTTTGTTTCAATAGTTGGTATATTACGTTTGATTTTACCATCAAAATTACTTACGAGTAACAAAACCGTAGGTAGATATACCGGATTTGGTTTGATAACCAAACGACGGCCTAATTTTGCCGCTAGCTTTATTACAAAATGCACAGTAATACATATTTTATAATAATAAATTCAAACGAATATTGAAAAAAATTATATATTTTATCTAAAGGCTAAAATACCACCGAACTTTCGAATAAATAAGTAATTTTAAATCGTAGAGAATAAAAAAAAAAAACTCAATCAATATTATTATTCTCTGTTAATATTAAGTAAATAGTTTATAAAAATATATGTTCCTTGCGGTAACGGTGAGATAGGCCTTTAACTCGTGTTTAATTAAAAAATGTATTCATAAGTTATTGATATTTTATTAAGTATTAAAAAAGTAATAATAAAAAATTCGTGAACACATTTAAAAGAATAACGTCATTGTCTCTATTAAAAAATGAAATATGTCACGTTAATCGGTACGAAACTTGATATTTTCCCGGGATTGAAATTAAATTTTCAAAAATCGTCCATAGAATGTTCATCACAATAATAATCAACAAGAGCAGACGGTTTAATTGGACGAATTATATACAATTTGTAAGTAATAAAAAGAAAAGAATACTATTTTTATTTTTGTGATAAACGATTAACATTTCCGAAACACGATTGTTAATTAATATTATTATGTAACCAACATGATAAACTTAAATATATAATTATACTATTCAAAAGAACTACTAATATCAGCGGTATGAAATAAATTGAGGTATGGCAAAATAAAGTACTTATATGGGTATCCAAAGTGGTTTTACGAAAGCTTAAAATCTGATATAAAAAAAAAAAAAAAAAAAAGGAAAATATTTATAACATCCCTCCTAATAGCAGTGTAAATACTGAAAGGAATTGCATTACAGGATGATGAAAGGAGGGAGCGTTTACGTGGGTGTTGCCTTGACTACTCCTCACCAATATACAGAGAGCTTTATAGTGATTTTTGTCCAAAGACGTGCTTATTTTCGTGCGAATAAAGTAAGTGTACATACTAGTTTTAAAACAATTATAGTATGCGGATATAGTAATGGTTTTTATTTCCAATATAGATTATATACACTATTATTATTATTTTTATTGTCAATGGCTGTAAAATATGACAAAAACTCAAAACCTAGGATATCACATTATTGATTAAAATATAGAACTCAACTATCATTTGTACTTATTCGTGAATTTGAACAATAAACTCCACCCCCGAGTAAAGACGAACGCAAGGACTCTATTTTAGTTAACACCTAGGGAATACGTTTTTGAAATTGTAAAATATATTATTATCATTAAAACTTGTGGAGTATTAGTTACATATTTACAAAAATATAGTTTCAATACATAATTTGGTGCCACTCACCGGAAATATTGTGATTCTGCCTGTATTTATGACGCTGCGCCCACGGCCAATATAGACCGATATTCCACATATATGCGTTTAAAAAAGGTAGGAAAAATCGTAAAAAAAAAAAAACCACTTCACATCGTTTTGAATCCGATTACGTACGTACAATTAAACACATATTATTTATAATACGTGTGTTACACCGTGTCAAATATTTTTTTTTTTATCGATAAAACCGTTAGAATAACCGCAACGAACACGAAAAATCAAAAAAAAAAAAAAATCTAGGTATATATTATTATATTATTATTAGTGTTTCACGAAATTTTTAACGATAATATTATATTATATTATTGGAGGTGTGTCATAATAACATAATATAGTAATTACGTATATATTAATTATTTAGCATCATCTAATATAAAATAATATTATCTAAGTGTATTTTTTTTTGTTTCAAGATATATTGTTATAGTAAAAATTAGGAGCTTTTGTTATCATAACGATACATAACATTAAACATTATCGATATATTATCATATTAACGTTGATACCGAGAGAAAAATAGAATATGGAAAGAGAGATGGAGAGAGAAAGGAGTGAGAGTGATAGAGAGTGGAAAATGTGAATGAACGCGTTTAGTAAACACTGGGACAGCCTACAAATACTGCGAAGTAACGACTGTAGACGGGGCGCCGACTTCTCCCTCGTGAGCGCACATACGCACAGGAACACGTCACAGTGGACCGAGGTTTTTTCTCCGCTACAGTGTTGCCGTGTCAAACGTGTACACGGTTATTATGTGGCAACATCGCACCAGAACTAATTGACTCTCACGTTTTTCTCCTCTCTCTCACTCATTCACTCGCTCTCTCTCACGCTAGCTCTCTCCCCCTCACTCGTTTACTCTCTCACAAGACTTCACATGGCCCTAAAGAAATGTATAATATTATCTTTTGTTTAGTCACCGCGGTGTATATTATGTTATTATTATATGGTGCAAGAGAAAAGGAGAGATGGTTATGGTGGGAGATAGGAACAGAGGGAGAGAGAGGGAGAGAAACAGCCATATAACCATTATAGAATTTAGGGCTTTTGTATTAGTATAATATAGAATGGGTCTCTACAGCGCTGCAGAAATATTATTTTATACATCCATATATAGCATTGAAATATTTGAATACAATATTCTGTATACAAAATATATATATATTCAATATACAAAACTATAACTATACGACAAACATATTATAAGCACCGAGCCATCTGATTATACAATAAGTATTGTAAGTAAAATTGAAAAATTGACGTGAGCTCGATTGACATAAGTCCGCGTGTAAAATTCAAGTGTTTGGTAACAATACATAAGTATTAGATACATTTTAGGGCTTGGATTTTGGACTTTTTGGTTTTTAATATGAGGTACGTAGGTTATTTTTTTATATTGTTCGAATTGTATAAATATTAAAATATATAATATATCATTATACTATAATACAGTGTACAGAATATTATTAGACATTTTATCGAGTTTATCAAACTCAATAAAAAAAAAAAAAAAAATACTAGTGTTAATTCGTAGAAATTAATTAAATATTCTTCTTTGTACAAGTAATATTTAAATTTATTTATTGTTAAAAATATTATTTCAATTTTTTAAAAAAACCTTATAGTAACGACGTATATGAATATAGTCTTCCCGATTCTAAAATTAAAAAATATTTTTAAAACAATTTCAGTTAGAAAAATAATAAATATAATTGAATGTTACACTAAAACCGAAGCAATTAATATAACCTAAAAATATTGTGCGTGTAGACGATTTCGATAAAAGTAATATTAAAGTTGAAATTATTCTATGTATCATTATTAAAAATTATAATTAATACATATTTGAACCATTTAGAAATACTATTTTACGAATTAAGTCTCTCGTATTATGTTATCCTTTTATGAATTGATAGAAACATTTTACTGTACATAAAGTATTATACGTCATATTATAACACCATATAAAACAAGTACAAGTTAATAAAATATAAAAAGTAATTATAATTTGTATTAAAACCGGGTACACTCGGAGTTATGAACTGGGATAAAATACTACTTGTTCTGTGCATGTCTTACGATTTGACTTGGACAAACGATGGTTTGGCCTTCCAGTTCACACGAAACGATAGTAATAGACGCTATTGGTCACCTTGTTACTTGTGGTGTACCTTGTTTATGGGTGTTTCTATAGCGGTAGCGGCTAAATCGGAAAATTCAAGTTATAAAGTCGTTGAAGTTCATTGAAATTTCAAACAGAAGATAGTTAGTACTTTGGTGGGGTGAAAAATCCGATGATCGTGGGCGATTTCTGAAGATTAAAGGGATTTTTGTACTTCATATTCGATTTTTTTTCTTTGCAAGAAACGAGATTTGAATTTGCAACCTTCCATGTTGTTCAGATGTTTGATCAAACTTTGGCACTAAATATTAAACTCTGTCTCCGGGAACAGATTTTTTTTTTGAACTCAATCTAACTTTTCAATGGCTTCTTTTATGTAATATGAAAGTGGAGCACAACAACCCTGAAGCCGTCTAGCTTTGTTTTTGACAAATTGGCCCGACGTGACATTTTAGTAATTGTTAAAGTTACACCAAAGTCTTTTTAACTAGCCGAATTTCTTTTTATAGGGTTCGAAAATAATCGAAATCAAACATAATCAAACCTTAATGCGGTAAACTTTCCTGTTTTCCCCAATCATTCAAAAAAAAAATCATAGAATTCAAACTAGATAAAATTGTCTTACAGGAAATATGCTGCTTTTAAAATTAGGTACAAGATTTTTCGTAGAAAATAAAAATCGAACCGATTTAAAATAATGAAACCGATTATACGCCGTAAATATTTGTCCGCTTTTTCTTACGTTTTTTTCCCAGTTTTCTCAATTATTATTATTAAAATCGATTAGAAAATCAAAAAAACTATATTTTAGACGCACTAACTAGATTTAAAATACAATAAAAAAAGTCTTTTATCGTATTTTTATTGAAGTAAAATTTCTGGTAGAAAAGTTTAAACAGGCACAAAATATGGAAAATTAAAAAAAAAAAAACCACATCATAATAATACAAAATAAATAGATCCTTCTATTCTCTCAGAACCTATAATGCGTTATGCTATTTATATAAAAATATCAAAAAATTATCAAACCGACTCTAATCTGCATTGTACTTACATTTTGTAAAAATAAAAATACGTTATATCTCACAACCTCGAAACTATATAACTAATAATACATATTGTAGATACCTACCTAGTTAATTTTTGTTTTTATCACACAATATGTCACATAATATAATTTCACATAAGATAATTTCAAATTGAAATAGGTACGACTTTTAAATTAAGAGGTATGAGTTTTTTCGACATTGCAACACGTACCTACATCATTCAATATTTTTTTAAACCAATAGAAATCGTATTGTCCGACATTATTCAAATATTCTACATAGATATTATCCGACGACAATTACTAATACAGCTGTGACCTCTATTAAAAATCGACTAAAACAATATATTATATAATATAATATATTATGTAGTTTAAAATCCGATATCAGATCACTTTTTTTTTCCATGACAACCTCATAAAAAAAACACAAGAAACAATGTATTTTATCTTAAACTTCGGTGAATGATAATAATATTATAATATATATTTATTCATCAAATATTAAAATAATTTATGCGAATTGGAAACGAACGTGAGTTTTGTATCATAATATGCATTACACCGATTTAAACAACAAAACCAAGGAACGAAATTATTTAAATTAGATAAATTCTTAGTCCCTATACCCTTTTTTTTTAGAATTATATTATACATGAGTATTGAGTATAGGTAGGTGTATTCGATTATGTCGAGCTACGTAGTATATGTATATTTAGTTGATATACCTATACTTTTCATCTCTGTCAGAATAAATTTGTCCCCGAATAAAATATACAAGTATTAAATACGATTATATTATACATAGGTACAGGGTACGCTTTGTATTTTTTGTTCGCAGAAAAACATGATTTTATTATAATAAACCCGAACGTGATATTTTAAGTATTTATATACTATTGTAAAAGTGTAGGTATTATTATCTGAAGCTTAATTTTAAACAAATATAATAATATATCAACTTTTAATTTTAATTCTGTACATGATATATTTTTAAACGTCATCAATTTTAAGAGGATTAAGTACCATCGAAATGTATTAATTTCTATACATTATATTATAATTGTAAAATATTTAACATTTAAATTAAGTAATCACTAATCTGTTTGTGTTGTAATTATTTTATTATAAACTTTGTATAAACTAAAAAAATGAATTAACAAATAATAGTATACGTATAATAATAATAATAATTAAAATGTATAATTTTGTCTCTACAGGTACATTTTTTTGTCTAACTCAAATCGATTTAAAGTAATTATACAAGCAGATTTTTTTTTCTTCATAATCCACTAAAGACAATGGGGTCATTTTTTTAAGTATGCACCTACATACCTATGTAGTAAAAATATGAATTGCAAAAAGATCAAAAACCTGTTTTAAAATATATTTACGCATTTATCGATTAGACTATATTATTATGTTGTTGATCGCTTAAATTTGAGTTAGCTTAAATAAAACGTAAAATATCTCAAGGTTGTTTTTTTTTTTTTTTGTTATTCGATTCAAAATAACGTAATTTTGACAGAAAAATAAATTGTAGTTTATACAGAGTGAATCGATTTAAAATATTTGTATTCTGTTATTTTCGGTACGAAATTATTATTAATTGATTTAGGTAAAAACATACACGGCTGTGAGTTTTATTACAGTTAAATTCGTTTATTTACAGTATTTATTCGAATGTCACATTATCGAATTTACTAAATGTCTTCACAAAGTAAAAATACTAATTAGACGGTTGTCCATAGCACTTATATTACTGCAGATATCGAACAATACATTTTTTAATAATTATATTATCTTAGACTGGCTATAGTGCTTATACGTGCACATTTTATGCAGATGAAATATCTACCAAATAAGTACTTAATTATCCTAATAAGATCCTATAAAACTCTAGTGGTAAAATTCAGTAGTTTATTGTATAGCCAAATCGATGGAGTTGACTGTGCCACAAGGTCGATACGGTGTAGGTATAATATTATGTTTTATTGGCAAACATGCACAACTTGCTGCAGCAGCCTGCAGGCGAGATAGAAACGCGACGGACAAAGATGGCACAAATGTCCTTGACATTCCTCTAAATATACACACACAATATAATATAATATTATTTTAAAGAAACCGAACCCATCGTAATTTGTCCCGTGTAATAATCACCATGATACTATGTTAAACTAAATCAATCGATACAACACGCGAAAAAACTTATCGTACATACAATTTCCTTATATGAGATTTCAATTTTTATATCCCAAATACATTATTTTGCGTCGGTAAAAAAAAATTTTCTTTCAGAAATCTTGCTCCAACCAAAAACATTAAAAGAACTTTTTGTACCATTTTTTATCTAGTTAATGCATTGCGTAGGTCATTTTTTTTTCTTATAAAATGGAAAAACTGACAATTTGTCGTATAATTTGTGTTGATTTCTGGATTACCTTGGTAAAAATGGAAAAATACGACTAATAATCCTCTGCTCTGAATCATTTTTCATTAGAAATGAATTGTCAGTTAAAAATTTAATTACTCTATACATAATCCCTTTCCACTTCCTCCTAAAACAGTAGCACACCCATCAGCAGTATCAACCCAGTAGTTTTTTTTTTTGAAGCATATCACATTATTCTATAACCGTGACACGATAAATTATCATTAATAATTTTAATAATATGGTTTACCGTCTGCGGCGTGGTACAGTAAAATGCGTTTTCCAGGAAAACACAATATTTTTTAATATTTTAAAGCTTTCTAATTATTTATGAAATCTAAAAATAAGCATTATATGCCTTCGTGATAATGAACTTATTACACGATAGTAGGTGTACCAATATGTTATTACATGATGATAAAAATAGTATGCCGGTAGTTAAAACTAAAAAAAAAAAATTCGACTGGCCAGTACGATAGTGCAATGTAATGCATAATACCGGTTAGGTTAAACATACTAGTAGCTAACGAATATACACGGTGTTATTAACAAAATTCAAAAATAACACGTTGTATATGAGAGCTAAAAGTATATTATAATTTTTTATTATTTACGTCCCGTCCCCAGTTAAAGTGATTCTAATGGCTTGTGGATTAGAACGACATAAAATTAGAATATAATATTATATTTATAGATATGTACCACCAAGAAGATAACATTTTAAATGTACACATTATTAAAGGTTTTCGCCTGTTCCGTGATTGTGCCGCACTATTTTAAATACCCACGAATTATTATCGACATTATAATGCATCACCTATTAAAATATTATGACTGTTCTAAAATCGAACAGGCCGAAATTGAAACGCGTACCAATGTTATAACAATAATACATAATATATCACCAAACGTGATGCTAAAGGATATTATTATATAGGTTATAGCCGATAACGACGTAATCAATAATTGATATGTCGGCCGTACGAGAGGATGAATTTTACAAAATGTGCCGGATAAAGTCGATAGAATTGACCTACTGACCCGGCAACAGGTTTGTGTGAATACGTTTTTAGACGCATTTGATTTTAACACGGCAAAAAGAAACTTTATAAATTAGAATTGTATAGTGGATACAATCGAAAACCCGAAAATCATGCTACCATATAGGCGGGACGTTTCGGATGTACACGTTTTAGATACGGTGACTTTGAAACGTACGATTTAAATATTATTGTGTGTTCACACCCCACACGATTTTATCTGCGTGTAGTAGCATAACTAAAACGGACTGGGACCGGCGATGCGTGCGACCAGTGACTAATACAAGTGGAACTTTGTGTGAAAATTTAGTTTTATGGATCGTATTGTTATAAATATTATATTAAATTAAAGGTCTTTCAGCATCCGCGAACCTATATTTATTAAGTAGATATAACAACCTTTTTTTTTTTTAATAAACCTCATTTTTTAAAAGATATATTATATAAGCAGTTTCCGAAACGAATGAGAAAACTAGTAAATGTGTACTCGGTGGGGTGTCTGGACCGGAGACTAGAACCGAACTAAACCGAAAAAAAAACCTGTTCTGGAACCCAAAAACCATTAAGTCGAACCGGCACCGAATTTAAATCGGCGATTCACGATTCCGCATATACCTTTTCACAACACGATTCCGCACAAAACTTATTTGTTTTGAACCAATTGTATTTTAAAATTATTATTTTGGTTTTAACCAAATTCTAGCTTATCTATAGTACAGATTATAGTCTACATTCTACAATTTATATTTTTTTATCGGGACTCATCAGTTACCTTTGTGATTTACTCTTTATAAAGTTTGTTCCATGCGAATTTATAAATTAAAAAATTCGAATTATTGTGTCAGAGAAAAATAAGGAATTAGCTGTTGTTAATGGTTATAAACATAGATTTGTCAATGTTCGTAAATGCGATCAACTTTTAAAGTGGTGCTGCTCTTCTGACAACAATTGTACTGCGTTTATTTTTTGAAATTCAGAAAAAAAAATATTTTAGGACTCAATAGGTGTTCATAATCATCTGGCTGATACTCCTAACAAAATAGAAAAACAAGTACTCGGAAAAAATTGTAGGAGACGAGAAGAGTAACAAGTTTCTAGTAAACCTATCAAAATTATTCGGACAGAGTTACTCCAAACTCCAGAATCATCGGTAATAAGATACCATGACATTAAATCAGTAAGAAAAGCAATGTATGATCAACGAAGAAAACTTCCTGTACTCCCAACATAGTTAAAATTTTTTTATTTATTTATATTATTATGTATATTTTTTTATCATAAACGTCACAAACATTTTTATGCAGAAACGTGTTACATTACAGACAGATAAAAAAAATCGTTTGCATTATGAAAATGTGCGGAATTGGGTAAGTAAAAAGGTATATTGTACGGAATTGTGTCACTCAAAACGAAATAGCGTGATTATTATGAGACCAGGTATTTATCGTTAAAAAATAAGGGTTTCGGTTATTCGAACATATTTAAATGGGTTTATTTCGTTGTATATATATTATTATTTATATATTTTTTAAATAATGTGTTTAATATATCAAATCTTGTCTATATTTTTATAAAATTAATTTAATTAATATAGTTTTTCTTCTTCTAATAAATGTAATTATAAAATATAGGCAAGATCATTATAATTCACTCAGTGAAAAATTGTACCTATAAATAGTATTATACATCTATTATTTCATTGGATATTTATCAAATAAAAACTAAATTTCATTGTGAAATCTTGAACATTTATTGATCATTTTAGTCCAAATGTGTATTTGTACCTACATTAATAATAAGTACTGAATAAAGAGCAGTAAAACACACTAGAACTGTACTTGGCATATTGGCATAGATACTGAAAAATATGAAAAAAAAAAAAAAATATTTGGAATGAATTCAGAACCGGCATTAACCGGAACCAGAACCGAAAATATCAAAAGGTACACTACCAGTCTCGGATCTAAATGATCTAAATGATTTTTCGGATTTTTTTTCTACCTCTGGTTTTTGTTTGCATTTTAAGTTTTAAACCTAAAAATACATATCCCATAGTATTTCCTGTAAAATGTACATATTCAAATAGATGTCACGTCACTTTTCCATTTTGACGTCAATAAGCGTTTAAACGTTAAATAGGTACATATCATTTCGTATGAAGGCTTTACATCAAGAAACGTCCTGAATATCTTTCTATACATTTAATTTTCAATATTTGACCGATTCGGTGAATTTAACAAAACACACATTAACTAGATAAAATTGTCTACCAGAAATTAACCCTTAAGTCGATGATCAGCAAGTTTATAGCAATATTTCTGGTAAAGAATTATTTAAACAGAGAAAAAAGCACACATCGTAGTAAAACCGTATTCTTCACACGTTTCTAGCTACGCTAAATCAAATAAGGACGAGTTGTTTGACGTTACGTCACATTTGGAAAACAAAAAATAAAGTGTAATTTTAAAATAACTCTACATATATTATTAAACATTTTTCTTTTTTTGCGACGTCTTTCATGTTCACCGCGACTAATATATGAATATTTAATACTTATGATACTAAACTACAGTGAAAATGATAGTGTACTTTCCTTTTAAAGGACGGTATCGTATCAGGCAATCTAAGACAAGTCGCTGCCGCTAAGAAAAGATCACCACCCAACATCGCGGTAATTTATTTCAATCCTTCGAATTTCCAATCCGAACGACATACACGCTATGCTCAAACGGAAACTTGGACAAACCGGTATACCAGAAAAAAATATCTTGATATAGATAAAAGAATATAAAAAAAATATTCCGCTCAATCTTGAAAATCGTAAACATTATTTAATTTTGACGAGGAATCGCTGAAAATAATCAAAATATTCCATCGGATTAGTTTGCATTATTTTTATACACGGCGGCGACTGCGAGATACACGGTTACATTTTTTCTTGGTATGTTTAATAAATATTCGTATTATCCTCTCCTCCCGAAGAAACGTCCTAGTACCGCCACTGGTCAGCCTAACCTACCTATAATCGTGATTGCCGCGAAATTCAATTTTCAATTTTCCCCGCACCCTTAGAACAAGACCGTCACGATTCAACATTCGGCACTTTCGCGGTATCGGTATCGGTAGAATAGCAACAATTCTCTAAGTTAATATTATTAGTCTCGTCATCACAGGAGTTGTGTCAGTATTGAATGTTCAATTCTATATTCGGAACGTACCGAGAGATCTACATTTTTTTTTTCACTCTAACGAAAGCGACGCTATAACCAACAATTAAACATCGGATGTATTGCTCTGTGACAAATCATATTATTTCACTAATATTCCGAAAATCGAAAACGGCCAAAATTGCCGCGCATGCAGGTTTACACTTATTTGTTTAACACACCGGTGTTAATTAGAAGACGAATACTTCAATGTATTTTAGTCTCTTTCGAATTTACATTGTTACGTTAACCGCGATAACTTAAAATTACGAAAGCCATTTTTTTGTACGGGTATAATATTTATAATGTAATACCAGAATTCACCGTTCACCATTTGTCGTGAATTCTCAGAAATGTTATGGTACCTGTGTTGCGCGTGATTTTCGGATTTTATGTTTACGAAACGCGGAGATCAAAAGTTTGAAATCGAAATTCCGGGATCGCGTACAAATTCTCCGACTACCCACGGGTAAAAACGCAACACGACAACGGAGGAGTGTGGGTTTTCTACACCGTTTACGGTGACGACGGAACGGGAAAACAATGGCAATGGCGGCGGGGCGGGGAACGGCAAACTCACTGGGTGTACCGGGTGCAACGGCGGCGGCTGTCGCGGGGTTATTGTACCGCGCGGAGCTACACTACGAGTTATCAAGACAACGCGCGCGCCGTGGTACCGAGGGGTGTACACGATAATGCAGTGTACCTATGCACACATACTATTATTGTTTTTTGTATTTAGTTTATTTTTTTTTTTTTTTTTTCCTACACGCGAGTGTATTATACAACTGCGGCCGCACGACGCGCGGGCAAACCGGACAGGTGCGGGGGGCGGGTCGTGAAACCGGGGGAAGCGGGGTGGCGGCGACGGCGATTGTGAAGTGCGCCCGGGAGGAAGCCGGGGAAGTAAGGTCGAGTTAGGTACGGGCGGGCGAGCGGGTGGTGCGGGCCGTGACACTCGGGGCGGGCAGGCCGTTGACGCGATCGTGACCTGCCGCAACGTCGGCGACGTTGTGGTGCACCCAGGACTTAGAAACAGAATCGCACGCGGGCTCTGGTAAGTCGCTCTCAGCGGCACGCGGCCGTCCGAAGAGCGCGCGCAGCGACGGAGGGTACGACGCCCGGCACCGCTAGGCCGTGCGCGTTCGCTTTATACACCGAACATGGCGCAAACATTATTATTATTGCTATTGTTATGCCACGACAATAATATTTTGCTAAACGTGGCAATAACGATAGCAAAAACAACAACGTCGCGGTGGTGTACGCGTTATACGGCAGTTGTCGCCGTTATTGCGTAAACAGCGGCCCTCGGACCGATTATTTCCGATTCTCGACCGACGGCGGCGTTCATATTTCACGTTAATAATAATCCGATATCTGAAAAAGCATTACATTTATTGTTATCATTATGTACGCCGCTGGCACGCATACACACGCGGCTCTACGGTCGGAAATAAATCGCACGGCACGCGGACGACGGTGCGCTCCTTCCGTCCCTCTGCTGAAGGGCCGCGACACGTACCTACACGCACCCGTTGTTTTACGGCGTTCAACGTTAAAATCCGTACAAGATAAAAATAATATAAATACAATATCGGGTCGAGGAACGTACAATAATCGCGAGACCTAGTCGAACATCAAATAATAGTAAAGTAACGTTTGAAAACAACTCACGGTAAAAATTAAACAATTTTATTTAGCATTCCGAAGGCGGAATCGTGATACATGCTGCAATCTATGTGCCGCTATCGTTCCCGTATATCGTCTATCGCCATCTATGTGTAAAAACAATTCTTCATTTGGCGTATGATGGCGGTTCAATCTGAAACGTTAACAATTCTCTGATTACACTATTGTCATTATCTTTATTGCCCAGTTCTTGAGTTTTCTGTTTAAAGTGTAATATTAAATTTAATTTGACACGATTAAAATTAATATTATACAAGTACCTGAATAATATAATAATATAATCACCTACCTACCGCCCCGCTTAGGTACACATTTCTTAGAGATGTTGTGTATAGCTAATAAATAAAAATTGTAGGTACCTATTTTTCGACATAAGTTATACATTTTAATTCTTTACATCAATTGTTTAAAAAGTTTACAATTCATTATGAATTAAATTTTAAAAAAATAGTTTAAATTATGTTGCATCATTCTGTTTGGATTTCACATTAATTTTTTATTGACGACAATTTACACCCACTTATGATAATAAACACGAATAAAAAACAGTAAAGTTAGGTAACTTCACAGTCTATTTAAAACAGTGACCCACCTAAGGTTTTAAATATTTCCATAATTTGTTTAAAACTTGGAATAATTGTATGCAATGGAAATTATAAAAATAAACTATGAGGGGTAATAGATAGATACACATTCTGCATATTCAGAATAGACCTATAACACCAAATCTACCTACCAAAGGTATAAAAAAATCTACTGAACATAAGAATATTATGTATTAATTTGTTCTTCTTTGTTTAACTTTAAAAATGAAATTATCATTACAAAATATAAAAACCTACATGAAAATATAATACATTTTATTTTGTAATAGTTAAATGATGTTCACACTTAAAATATATTATAACACATTTTAAAGAAACATTATTACTAACCTATGTAATCTTTACATAGTAAATTATTGTTTTTCTTAGAAATAAAAAAAAAAAAACATAAGTGTATCTAGATGGGTCAATTTTACTTATAAGGATATTGGAAAAGAATTTGATAAGCGATTGAGATTTGAGATTTAACACATATTATCTGTGATCGTCAAAAATTGGGAGATTCAGAAGATAATTGTTGGGAAAATAATCATTCTTAGTCGGGGTATTTAAAACAAAAAATAGTAATCCAGTTTTGAATTCATATTGCATTACATTTAATAAATGGAGTCTTATTTTTCTAATTACGTAACTTGTGTATGAAATCAATTACATCAATGGTAGGCAACCTTCTAACTTACACGGGCCATATTTCTATCAGTTTTAAATACTAATATATTTATGGTTATCAAAATCATGAGTTTCATTGCTTAATTTTCATTGTTAATTAATTTTGAATAAAATACACATGTAGAGAGAATTAAAAAAAATCAATTCTTGAGTGAAATAAAAATATAAACAGACACGTATACAAGGGGGGGAGGGTTTGGAATTCACCTTCCCCCCCGGAAAATTAATAGTTGTGTAATTGATTTATATAAATTTAATATTTTTTTATAAATATTGATGATATTGATAATATTGATTTTATTGTGAATTTATTATGAACTCCCCCACTCATTTATAATATGATTTTTGAGGTTGACTATTTTACGCTAATTTGTTCATATCCACTTTCATATTTGATGTTGATATTCTTAAAATTTAAACTTTAAAATTATTATTTTATTAACTAACCATTAATGTCATTTACTTGCTGTATTATTATTACTACCTATTACCTATTACCTATTTATTAAACTGTTTTCTATTATAAACCACATTAACTATTTTACATTGTAATGTATAACTTTAGTTTAAGAACTACACCTCCAATACAAATCGTCAAGTCATACTTATAGTAGGAGTGGAATTATTTTGAAATTGAATTTTACCTGTAATTAAAGAATAAATAATTGAATATTTTTGTATATTGCAAAATAAACCTATTATTATTATTATTATTATAAGTTGTTAAACGATGTCTGCATGTTGGTATGTTTCAAAACGAACTGCACTAGAAACCATAACTAGACTATTTGTCATAATCTAATAGTATTCAATATATGTAATAGTAACCATTTCAAAAGCATAAAATTAATACTTTTATTTATTACAGTTTAAAAATAATAATTTTAAATACCATTATATATATTCGGAAGACCTCAGAAAAAAGTTAACGAGGGTCTCATGCCTAACTTAATTAATCATTTTTTACGACAAGTATAGCCAGTATAAGTATCTTATGAATTCATTTACAACAGTGGTCTTCAACTTTTTTGGACTCACAATCCACTTTTTTAGGCGTACATTATTCGCGACCCACATAAGGCATACATAAAGAAAAATGTTTGTAAAAAAATAAAAAAATAAAAATCTAAAATTACTTAATATTTTGTAGTAGTACTGTTATAACTGAATAAATAAAAATAAAAAAAAACTTTTCAACATAACTGTAAATATGACTACAATAATAACGCGACTAACATTTATTCGTCTTTAAACACAGCGACAACATCGACAAAGTTCGTAGATTATGGGACTCTTTAACGATAATAATATAATATATTTATTTTATTATTTGCCCGGTTTACTCGTAAATTATTATATTTAATGTCATACTACATAGAATCATACCAGTATATGAAACATATACTGTGATTTGAAATCCATTATACTATTATATTTTTGAAAATAAATGATATAATATTGTTTATACATAATATATTACAATAATTTTCAAACTGTATTTTCATTTATTAATTTTCTGAGTTTAATAATTAAACAATTATTTGTATACCTTATATAATTGTATAAACTTAATTTTTAATTTAAAAAGAAAACTTATCATAACCCAATTTTTAAGCTTACGCGACCCGAAAATAGATCACGATCCATCGGTTGAAGACCACTGATTTACACCATAATATGTTACGTACCCATAAATTGAATCTGCAGTGAAATTTTGTTTGGCTGAATATTTAAATACCTGGTAGGTAGGTATGAAGGCAGTATTTTAAATCTATTAAAAAAAAAAAAAAAATCAATTATAACTCAAAATAACTAATATATTGTATATTAATTGGTGAATAGGTGAATTTCAAAAATTGGTACATACATTTAACAATAGGAGCATTAAATAAATATATTTATTTCCTTTTTTTTTTTTCAGATAAAATTGAATAACATATAACATATTACCCATTAATAATAAAACATGTCGGTTGACTTATAATTTAATTTTGAAAATATACAAATGTAATATCCCTGTAGGAGGGATAAGAATACAGGTAGCTACTTGAATGCCAAACCTTGATAAACACAAATTCTAACCCCAAAAATCTCTAAGTGTATATGAGTGTCAAAAATCTCTGAGTGTACACGAGTGTCAAAAATCTCACACATACTTTTGACACTCGTATACACAAACAATTCATTAAAAAAAAAGCAAAATATGGTTACACAATCTTCAAATAAGTGTTAATTTTTATATTGTTAAGCATGAACAGTATAATGTGTATAAATTATATTTTTCATGTGAACATAATTCTTAAACATTTGAACAAATATTTATTTTAAAAGTATTGTAGAAGTTAACTATTCTAATGTTGAATAATATGAAATTACATTCACATAAGTGAAATGTAAATTATATGGGTAAATACTAAAAACAAATTAATAACTGTAAAAAACAGTAAATGTTACTGAATGTAATAAAATAGTTTTGATTTGTTATTTAATCGTTGAAATAAATATTTGGGACAAGTATAAAGAAAATGTATAAATCAAAACAATGATTGTTGATTAAATATTTATATACTTCTAGAAATTATTAAATTTATACCTATGTTAGTCAAAATTACAATAGTTGAAATTAATTAATTTAGGGAAACCAATCACCTATTTAATTCAATTTAAATTCGTGTTCGGTTTCGAATTACTAGATAGCTTATTTAATCTATCTATTAAAATACATCATTTAAACGCGTTGGCAGTAATGATTTCCGAAACATTTTCATATCTGTATATTATAAAAATACTAAATGTAGGCAGATGTACAATCAATAAAACGAATATCATACAAATTAAATTTAGTTATGTTTCACTAATTTCAGCAAATCAGTTTTTCTATGCTAAAAATGATTAGACGTTTCATGTTCAAACAAATTCGAAACCGACATTGGTACCCGTAATGATATCTATCGTGTAACCCATAACCACAGTTGTGTTGTACGGTGGTTACAAGACATTTTCTGGTAAACAGAACCAAAGATCATGTCCTACCGAACCAGGTCACTGGGTATACCACATATCAAGCGCCAATTTTAGTTAAATTCAAAAACCGATTTTAATTAAATGTAAATCATGTGGATCACTGAAACCGATCGTATCCATTAATTTATAAATACTAACAAACATCTGTCTAAACTCACCTTAATTATGTTTTAACTGTAACCGCTGTATCTATAGCATTAGTCAAATGATACTGAAAATAAAAAAATTACTTACTTCAAAACGGTTTTTAATGAATTACAAAACAACTAATACACTAAAATTTTAATTTACAAACTTTATGAAGTTAAAAATTAATTAGTATCGTGCAGCTATTGCGGTTATAATAAAGAGAATATTATTCGAATATGTGGTTATCAATGTATTATGATGGTTATTTTATTTTGTATGAACGGGGACCAGCCATTTTACGGTCATAGGGCACGGTATGCATTTCGTACATGGTTGCCAACAACTGTTAACCATTGGTTAAACTGCCACGTCATTCCCGCTTATTTAATTCAACTTCATGAAATGTTTTAACACAAACCGAAAGGTATAAAAATATATGTAAAAAAAAAAAAAAACGTATCTAGGTCTATGATTGGGACCGATTTGTATCAATGTAGTACCCACGGGAGTGAGCGGAAAAAGAATCCCGAAAAAAAAAAATTGAATCTGAACAGTCGGAAATTCAAAACGTTAAATTCTGTTATATTAGAAACACGAATTAAGATATTCGATTTCTGAATAATTGATATAAACTATACATTTTTAAATTGTAACTATCGTATTATAAACATATACTACAGCTTTGTGTCTTTATAATGGGTATAGCTGTTGGCTAAATAGTAATAATGTATTAGTAAAATAATAAATTTATATTATTTTTATTGACTCGGTGTTATCATAACAAAAGTTATCAATTATTATTTCCCGCCTATTTGTACATTAATCATATTTTTCATAAACCTTTTGTTTAAATTTACTATCTATTTTGATATTGATACTTTAAAGCCCAATCATAATTTGATCATGTTACCTACATATTTTAGAATTTTTATTAGAAAGTAAACACAAATTTTAGAACTAATTCAATTATGTTTAAGTATTAAATTTTCAATGTTCTTCCTTTTGTTTTGTGAATCTTATTTATTTTATAGAATTTTAATAAAAATACTTATAACAGTTTCAAAATTTTAAATTAACTAAATTGTATTACTTGTATACTGGTATAATATTTAATGTAGGTATACTTTACTAATTCTAGTGAAATTTAATTAAAATGATTAAGTATATGAACATCTTAACATTTCAGGATGGATAAAAATAAAACTACCAAATCAAATACTCCTGCTGTGACTAGTAAAACACCAAGTAAAGCACCAAATACTCGAAGCGGTCCAAGTATTAAAATAAATACACCAAGTAGAAATTTCAATGCTAATCGGTCCAATAATGATAAAAGCTCAGGAAAATGTCCAAATCTCCGATCTAAAAGTAATTTAACCAGAAATGATAATAGAAATACTGGTGGACTTAAAAGTAATGTATTACCTGATATAGATGTATATACATAAACTTTTAAGTATTTTTCAATTTGTTATAGACATTACATGCTCAAACATTACCATAGAAAGAAATGGTAGTTTGCCAAATCTCAATTTAAATGGTAATAGGACACAGTTGGATAAAACTACACAACTTCGATTTGCGTATGACAAATATTTAAGTAGTTTAGAAGCAAAATATGTACTCCAAAGGACTGAAACAAAAATAAATTCAAATATTAGTGAACAAAAAAAAATTTTTTTAGAAGAATTTGATATGCTTAAAAAACAACTACAATCTTTAAGCAATGAATTAGAATTAACAAAAACATTAAAAATAGAGAAAAATATTTTAGATAAAAAATTTGAAGTAATAGAATTGCTACGTGAGTAAAAATTATAAAATAATATAATTATTAATGGTAATATTCAACTTTTATTTTAGATAAAAATGTTGCAATTAGTAAATCGGATGAAGAGCTTATGTCATTGTATACTAATACAGCATCTAAAGTTGTTGTAAAAAATTTTAAAGAAATGGATGAAACTGATTTAAGTAAGTTTATGTTATTTCATACCAAATATAACATTAAAAGTATAGTTACCTATTGTATTATGTAAACAATAATTCATAAATTAAGAACTAATAATTACAATGAAATAATTTCACCTTATTTATTATGAAAAATTAGTCCTTATACTATCTTCTACTATTGTTAGTATAAAAATAATAATTGTTAATATAAAAAATATATCTTCTACTATTGTTATATTTTTTTAGATAAAATATACTGTATTATTGGTTGGTATATTAAATGTTTAGATGAGCATTAAAACAGATTTTGTAATATAATTAATAACACTTATAGTTAAAAGTATAGGGAATAATTTTAAGTGATAATTAGATAACCTTCAAAATTGTATTATAAATTACATATTTTTTGTTTCTTTGTAGATACTGTTAGATCCTTGTTGAATGAAATTATAGAACCATTGAAACTACTTGATTATGAAAATAAAATAAATGCACGTATTCAACTAAAAGATTTATTAATTAAAGTGGTAATGTTAACCAATGAATTGGATAATTATAAATTAAAGTAAGTATTTTATACTATATAGTATTTATAGTACCTATATTACTATTAATATTAAAACATATATAAAGGTTTTATCTTACTAAATTAAATCGTTTTAAATGTATATTATTTATAAGATGTGAAGAGTTATTTGATAAACAAACCAGTATGCAAAATTATAATTCCGCATTAAAAATATTACAAGCTCAATTTGGAGAAAACCCAGATACAACATTGGTATCAAATAGCGATATTATGCAAGATATTCAACAATTATTAGACGAAATATAAAAAGTAAAACTAAATATTATACTTTAATTAATGATGTTTAAACACTGATTTTTAATGTTGAACTGAAATGAACCAAATAAAATATTTAAACTTTATCATTATTATTATGAAATGTCAACATTTTAATATTATTTATGTATAATATTTTAATTACATTTTTTATTTAATTGTTACAATATACATTTATTTGGAAGTCGTTTTTTAATATATCTAATATAATAGTCCGTTAAACTATTTGTATTACCATAATGTAGTATATATTTTAAAAATGTACAGTTAATAATAGTATAATGTAATGATAGTGAAAGAAAATCTTTGTCGTGTATTCAATTTAAGAAAATTGATGAATTAATCAAATTGCACTTATTAGGTGTATTGCCTAGAACATTTACAACACAAACACAACCTAGATTTGTAACAACTAATAAATTGATTGGCAATAATTTCTTAAGAGGACGCCACAACTGTATTTACTATCTTCATCTTACAAACGCACGACTCAAGAAATTTGCATTTATTAGGACAAATTTTATGCTGTTAGTTTTAATATTCAAACAAATTTATTTATTTCTAAACTCAAAGGTAAGATTATATGTGCCCTAGATGTTTTTTTGATATTTTTATTGCATATACTCATATTTCGCTTAGAAAAAAAAATATCAAAAAACCGTCAACACTACAGTACATATAATATTATTTCCTTTTAATTTGGTAATAAATCATTTTGTTTTAGTATTTAAACTAATGGCATAAAATTTGTCCTACGGAATGCAAATTTGCTGTTTCGCGTGTATAATACAGAAACAGTCAGTGTGGCATCCTCTTAATTACTTCGGCCTTTTTAATGAAAGCCATAAATTGATTAAGTTTTTTAGCTAAATCAACGCGTATTAATATGTAAGTTATAATCATAGATAGTACAGTAACTTATATAGTTACTTTAATAGCTATGATTATAGTATTAAGATATGATTTTTGATAAGAGAGACTGATAAATTTTTTTAGATGATTACTAAAATCATTGAATCGAGTAATTCAAAAACTGCCAAACAATATTTGATTTAAGAACAAGCCACAGGATTTTTTGGTATCTATTTCCTAGATAATTTAATGGTACTTCAAATTTGTAAGAAATTATTTAATTCAATTATCAATAATTGTATTATGAATAATAATATATCAAAAAATACATTTTGGAAATTTGTCCTCCTTTTAATAGTATCAGGTTGGATATATAGGTAATTGTTTCATGCACATAGTCTTCAAAAAGATATAAATTATAAAATAATAGTTCTGAAGAATTCTTGTTTTATTATTATCATCAACATTATTGCTATAAAAATCTTTTTCAAAAATGTTCAAAAGAAAAAAAATAGTAACAATTTTGTTTTTAAATTCTTCTTGTCCATAAAACTTTTTGAATAATGGTTGCCGCTAAAAAAGCTTAATATTTTCATAATCAGTATTGAGAAACACGTCTTTTCAAAAAAAAGAAAAATTTTAGTAGACTTATTCTAAAAAAGCCAATTTAAGGATATAGAAGTAGAGCATTTATCCAACTGAACACAAATTTCCTTATTCCCTGAAGTACTTTTGCATACAAGACAAAAAAAAAATAGATAACATTATTTTATTACATTGTAAGTAACTTTAAATAGTTGATGTTCCCATTAAGTCTTATTTGAGTAAAATATAATTTAAAAATTACTCGAATAAGTATAATATAATATTATGTAATAGATAAATTGTATAAGTATAGAATACTCTATAATCAATTTCTTTATTCTAATACTGAATATAAATAAATTGTTTTTGTTTTCAATGATCAATATAGAATATATCTATACTAATTGTTCATACGTTAAATTACGAGACTTCCAATCTTTTCCTTTTGAAATTGAGAAAATCATTTCAAAAATTCTTATTATCTATTATCAAATGTACTGTTTTATAAATAATTTATAGTACAAGATTATTCAGATTCCATTTATGTACAATTTGTTATTGGTTTCTTGAAGGTCATTGGTACTTTAGTATATTACCTAGCATGTATCTATATATTCAAGTCTGGCTAGTTACAATTTACAGGGTCACCGATGGCTAAATATAACTAGGAACTAAAATAAATCACCAACACTATTGAATTGTAGTGGATTATTGAAAAACCAAATGGTTAGGTAATGTTAACCTAATAATATTCTATAACACACAATTTATATGAATAGCAGCGGTCATTTTAGTGTAGAATATTATATGTCTATATCAATGATTACTATTCTAAATAATGAATACAATTATCACATCTACTATGAACTCATTACTTAATAATGATATTTGTTATTGGAATTTAGTTTAACAATGTTATTTCCTTAAGTTTTAACATTTTTTAGTATTTATTTTAACCTGGACAGACAATAAAAAATAAAATAAGTAATTTATATAATAAACAGAACTGTAATATCAATTTCCTATCTACAGATATTTGAACACAAACAACTAAAAAATATGATCATACTAATGATATACAAATTAGTGTAATTTAGTTGAATAAAATGTGTAGTGCAGGTTTTTCCGTAAATAAAAAAAATTTTTTTTATATATATATATATATGCATTTATACAAGTGTATAATGAAATTAGCAGTTTTAGCTGTATAAATCTTTTTTCGCAATATGATCATTATTACATATAATTAATATTAAATAACTAAAACCTGTTACTGCTTACAAACACTTATATTTTACAAATCTTTTTTTTTTTTTTTAATTTTCCACTTTCTATAAAATCATTTAAATACTTGTAGTCAATTTATACACTAAAATAAAATTGATGTAAAATAATTTTCATCAATATAAAAAATTATACTAAATTACAAGTTAATAGATATCTATTATCTGGGAATTAAAAATACTATTGATGATAAAAATGTCATCATATATCACGTGTTTCAAATATTATTAACTACAAAAAGAAAAAAAGAGAATAATCAGTTGTATGTTTATTTTTTTATCTATAGAAATATTGCAAATGAGCTAGCTGTAAACATATTTAAACACCAGTGCCATGTTTAATTATTTTCATTGATACAAAGCTAATTCACTAGGATAAACATTTTTAAATGTTACTTTATATTAGAAAATTAATACGAATCAAAGTAATAATTTATTGTTACTGGCGCTAATGATATTTTTTTTTAATAACAAAACAATTTAATAAACAAAAAAAAATATCATTCAGAGCAGGACTAAACTTTCTGAAATTTTGTTGAAAAACAAAAATACATTGAAATTGTTTATATAAGTGGTTCCTTGTAAACTAATTTGAACCAATGACCACACATGCATCGTTTTGGTTCACCCGAGTGTAACCACATCCATTTCACATGAGATGCATCTTCCTCACAAACACAACCCACGATTCTAGCTTCAAACGCCGATGGAATTTCAGTTGGTTTATCTATGGTACTCACGCCACGTTTGATGGCTTTTAGGTTGTATGGATCCTAAATTAAAAAAATAAGCAATTTTAAAAGAAAATCATGTACAAAAAAAATGATTTTATCTTAACCTTAATTTAATTCATTTTTTTAACAGCGTTTCCTAAAATGCTGTCTATAAAATAAAATTTTTAGATGGATCACAATGAAAATTGTGATGTTTTTTAATATACATTCTATACATCTAAGTATATAGAACATTTATTTATAATAATTTCTTCTTAAAAAAATAAAAAGTATTCAATTTAATAGTTTTATTTTTTCTAATTTAAGTTGGGTGAAATATATATTTTAGTCTAATGACTTTAAAAAACGTATTAAATGTACTAAATTAATAGTGTAACTTTTCTTAACAATAGATATATTGGAAAAAATGAACTTATATTAAACTTTATACTTTTGAAGTGAAACTTACGTCATTTCCAGCTAGACGTAAAAGCATTTCTTTTTTTTCTATACCAGTGGCCAAGTCCAAGGGATCAGGAAATCCTGAAATAAAAAAACAAATAAAATGAATAACAACATTAAAAATAAAAATAATTATTCAAAAATAAACTGTAGACAAATTTTTAACTGGACAAAATAGGTTTACCGAATAAAATCTACTTTTGAATTTTTTCTCTTCATATAAGTGAATTTATTTGAAATACCTTAATTATGGTTAATATTGGCCATGTTTAAACTAATCAAATCAGTATAGATAACCATAGTAATAACTAATTTAATTTTGAATATATACTTTAAGCTAACATAATTTTAAGACAAAAATAATATGCTTATTTTAATTCAATTTGATGTACCTAATAACAAAGATAATATTTATTATCTAATATATCTCTTTTGTTATCATGGAAATTTAATACCAAATAATTGTGTAAAGATAAAAATAAATTCAATATGACACATTAGTTTTAAAAAATGATATTGTTAATATTAAGTACAGATAATTCTACTTTTTCTCCTTCATTTCCCAATTATTATGGGTTGGCTATCCTTGTTCAAAACTTCCACTCGTCCCAATCTCCCATACACTGGTTGTCCTCATATAATTCTTAATACCATTCAACTACTTCTTTTTCAGTTTTGCTTACCACTTCTTTTCTCTTACAAATATTTCCATTACAATTCTAACTGCTTCAGATTCCTCTTTCCGTGTGACATACCATACCTATCAATTTTTTTTCATTCTGTCTATCAAAACCACGCCTAAGCTACCTGTTATATATTCATTCTTTATCCTATGTACTTTTGTCCCTACATTTATCTACCTATCTAAGCATTCTATCTCTGCTACACTTATTCTGTTCTATTTTTCTGTCTACCGCCTAACACAAGATACGAGTTTCTATAATATTGCAATTATTATCTGGTTTTGTTGTTTTAAAATGTTGAATGATTAAAATATCTAACTTAAGCACATAGTTAAGCACAAATATCTTAATTTGTTTTTTTAAATTATTTTAAAATAAGTTGTAAGTTACAAAACTAATTTTAAAACTTAACAAAAATGTGTTTGACAACTATATAATTTTAAATATTTAGTAAAGTTAAACAAAACAATGATAGTAAATAAATAATGAAGTTAACAAATAAACTGTTTTTGGGTATCTTGAACAATTTGGTGCCAATTTGCTTATGCCAAATAGCATTTTAACAGTCATAATTGTCTGTGTGCAATTTATGGCTGAATCAATTGCACGAAGGTCTGAAAATATACATACCGAAACTGATGAACAGGTCTGTATGCATCTTAAGCTTAAGTCAAACAAGTTTTTGATACTTTTGAAATGAAAATTATATAGAAATAAACTTTAAAAAATAAGTAACAGTTTTCAGATTGACACGTTTTTATTTTAAAATATATTTTTATTTAATACTACACAGAGAGTACTGTACTTGGTTCAAATACAGTTAATATGATTTACGTTTATAAATTTATTAGACTATAGATACAATATAAATTGTATATTATATATATATATTTATTTAAATAAGTGCCAAAACTCTGTAGTTCATAATATTTATTTATTTTAAACATTGTGTACCTAGATTACAAAACAACGGTTAAAGAAAATTAATACATGGTAATAGGTACTTATACACTTAACTTAGAAGATAAGAAAAACATTCACAGTTGTTACTACTTTATAATAATTATGATAGCATTTTAATAAAACTAACCTAAATTCATTTATTAAATATGTTTAATGGTACTTATTATTTTATCATTTTATTTTAAAAAAATAATACTTTTGTGTGCATAAAGACATTGAAATGTGTACATCATATTAATATGGGTATCTATAGATTATTTTAGTGCAATTTTCAAAATAATAATAATATATCAATACTATAATATATGGTCAAGTAGGATAATTGGAAAAAAAAAAATCTTAACTTGAATTCAATTAGGGGAAATAAAACATAACAAATCATTTTATATACCATAACCGCTTCTTTTGATAACTAATATTTTGATGTTTTGTTCATAAAATTGATCTTTGAAAACACCAATATGATGTTTGGTTGGCAATTAATTTTCATTTACACTTCAATAGTTAAAATTATAATTATTTTGACAAAGGAATAATAAGAAAATGAAACTGGAATTTTATAGTAGGCAGAATAAGTAGGCAGTTGTTTAATATATGTTTAAATTTAAAATGTACAATTAATAGAAGTACTTATTCAATTTATGTGATAGTGCAAAAAAATTCTTTGTGCAGTACAGTTAGGTACTAATAATTTATATAATTCGCAAATTTTGTTAAAATTACCTTAGTTAACATAACTTAACCAAAACGAAACTGATGAAACGTATTATTATTAACCAAGACTTTTTAATAAAGATATTTCCAATGCTAACTACCTACACCTTATTTATTTACATTGGATAGGTCATTAACAAAATCTAGTAATTTATCTTTATTACTTTACTAATAAAACCCAAGGTGTACCTATCTATTATAAAACAATTCAAAAAATAGAATTTAATTTGTAAATGATTGAATTTATTAGGGAATTAAATACGCACTATGTAGATTAAAAACCAATGCTTACCTTCCTCTTTGCTAAACCTCACTGCCGAGGTTGTGAACATTCGAGGTAGACTTTTGAAAGCGAGCTGAGAGCTCAAGACCATTAGTCTGCAAGTCATTTTTATGTGTTGAAGAAAATGGTAAATGGACGAAACTTTTGATGTACGGTCGAGATGGTAAAAGGTCGACACAATTTTTTAAGCCAATCCGGCTAGTTCATGAACAACAGCGGTTAAAAGTAAAGAAAATTTTTTGGTAAGATTTTCGTACAGGGCAAACACATGATCATAGAAGGTCGATTCACGCCTTCCATTTTCCAAACAAATTAAAAATGTTGGTTACACTGATACTAGATAATTTTAAGTCGTCATCACGATAAATCGTAGATAAGGTATCTTAAGTTAAGTATTACCAATATTCGGGAAAATTAATTTTCCCATGTTTGTCAAGCTGTACAGTGTACAATATCCCAAAATTGTTGAGTTATCTCATCGACCGACAACCATCGTTTTATCTTTTTTCTATGATCGTTCCTCTCCTTTTACGTCAATCGTGCGTGTTATGGCTTGAGTAGCTCTTTTTCGACTAAAATTATTACTCTGTCATTCTTTTAAAGTTGCGTGTCAATAAACCAGCATCAAGGTACGTATATTTTAAGAACCTTGCGTATTTTAAAATAATTTAATCTCAAGAAATATTAATTTCTCTGTAAAATATCGTCTCAAAGAGGAATATTATGTTTGTTGGGCATGCAAAAATAGATTAATTCAAATCATTTGATTGTGTATAAAACTTCTAAATTTTTATTTATGTAAAAAAAAGAACCAAATAATAGGTAGGTACATACCTATTAAAAATTGCTGATTTTATGTCTAGCTATTATTCAATTTAGGTTAAGTCCTATAGCATGTTTACATAAAAATAAATTATACAGTCGACACTTAGGTTAAGTGATACTATTATTGATAAGGATGTAAAATATTTAGGCCTATACTTCCGCAATTATTATTTAGTTAGACCATATCTGGATCAATTAACTAGTGTATATGTCTATGGGATTAATTCATTGAAAGTAGACAATATCAAATTATTTATTTTGATTTATTTTTACTGGTTGGTTAATATTTATATCGACTCAAGAGGAGAGATTTTATTCATAACTGACTGTGTTGATGTAAAAATTTCAAGCAATATTATTGCCATGTTAAGGACTCCCGTATATCAGTAATATTATTGATTATAAATACGTATTAATACCTACGTACTTATTATCGATAGCAATATTAAAGGTTTAATTAATATATTAATCAAATTAAAATATTTTTTTTATGACCTTTAGTTACTACCATTGAATTTATATTAGAAAGTAATATAGTTTAATTTAATTTTGTTTTATTTCAGATGCTAGTTCCAATGCAAACTAAAATTGTGAAAAAAGGTAATGTAGGCCCTGATCAGTTTGAGTTATCAATTGCACAAGCTCTTTTAGAATTGGAAAACAATAGTGATTTAAAAGCTCAACTTCGAGAGTTGTACATTACAAAAGCTAAAGAAATTGAACTCTTTGGCAAAAAAGTGAGTGGCATTAATTTGTTAAAATAAATAGAAAATTATAATAAGTTACATTGTTGATTGGAGAAATTATTAAGTATATTTTATAAAAATTACATATATGAATTGAAAAATATTTTCATAAATTTGAATTACTGTTTAAAAAATCATGCTATAAATACAAATTAATTATGAATTATATAAGATTTGTTGTTAAAAGTTTTCACTATATTTATACATTTTGAAGATATTTAATATTTATTTTTTAACATACCTGTTTATTTAGAGTATCATTATTTATGTGCCAATGCCACAAAGAGCACAGTTCCAAAAAATTCAAGCTCGACTTGTTAGAGAATTGGAAAAGAAATTTAGTGGAAAACATGTTGTCTTTATTGGTGACCGCAAAATTTTACCCAAACCAACAAGAAAAACCCGTACCCAGACCAAGCAAAAACGTCCTAGAAGGTATTCTATCAAAACTTATGCAACATTTAATCAATAGAATTGTTGTGTTACCTTTTAATGATATGTTTAAACAAAAAAAATAACAGATACTTATTATTATTTTCTTTAGTCGTACTTTGACTTGGGTGTATGATGCCATTTTGGATGATTTGGTTTTTCCTGCTGAAATTGTTGGCAAGCGTATTCGTGTAAAAACAGATGGTAAACAAATCATGAAAGTACATTTGGATAAAACTCAACAGACAAACATTGAACATAAGGTTCCTACATATTTTAATTAATACATATAGTACAGTTTTATTAAAAAATAGTTTTTAATGTAACATCTTTTTTTATAATAGTTTTTGTTAACCATTTTTTTCACTTTTTTATATAATATATATTAATGAAGTAATTCTATAAACTGCCATAATTTTTAATATAACCTGAGATATTGTATTTATTTTGAAAAAGTAAATAGTAATGTACCTATGTATAATGTAAAAACTGAAAAAAAAAATCACTTGGATAAAATTTTCTCCAAAAAAGCTTATCATTTTTTGATAAGTCAGGACCTCTAAAATAAAAGTTAATAACAGACATAAAAAAAACCCCAATATATTCCTCGCTATGCTCAAAATATAATATACAGTGAATTCAGTGAAATGAAAATATGAAGAAAAAAGAGCATATATATTATGTTATAGATTATTTGTAGGTATTAAGTATTTACAACCAATTTTGATTTAAAATATAATCAGGAATTAGTACCAATTTATCTGAATATAAAATCAAAATGATAAAAAAGATGAAATTAATTAGTTTAAGATATTTTATTTATTAAATATAATAAATTTTAAGATTCTGAGCAGAGTGAGGAATGTATTGTTTTTACAATGATGTTTATGATTTTATTTTTTAACTAAACAACCTTTTTACCAAAAATGTTGGTTCTATTTTCAAATATTGCACGTTTTCTAAAGAAAAGTTTTATCTGGGTGATCCTTTAACAAGGTCTTTTTGATTTTCCAAGAGGTATTCATTATTTATAGAAAGAATCGAAAAAAATTGCGAAAATTATTATTTTCAATTTTGTTTTTTAGTTGCAATTCATTTTAAAATATTTATAAAACTTGAAAATTTGGACAAAACACTTATTTATTTGCCATTTTTGAGCTATTTAATTTTGAGTTTTTACGTCATTTTTTATTTGGTAGATACTCTATGGATAAAATTGTTAGACTAATCAAAAATACTTTAATATTTTCCAGGAGGTTCATTATAAGTTGTACTTTGTAGTTAAAAAATAAAAATTGAATGTAGAATTTTTTTTTATAAACATTTTGCCGAAAATTTTAAATATTACTGCTTTCTAAAATATGGGTGACTCCACTCAGAATCATTATTTATTAGCAAAAATTGTTTTGTACAGTTATGCATTAAATTCCCCTCTAAATCTAACCTTTTCAATTTCTCACCTAGAACAGTTAGGCTCACCCGTCGTAAACAAAATATGTTAGTCTTTTTTAAAATGAATTACAAATAAAACTTCCAAGGCACTAATAAATAATGCCTTATTTATCAGTGCTATTTTTTTTATAAAAAACATGTCTATCACATTTATTTTATGTTACAGGTGGATACTTTTGCTTCGGTGTACAGAAAGTTGACTGGCAGGGAAGTGACATTTGAATTTCCTGAACCATATTTGTAAATCTTTATTTTTATTCAATAAAAACATGATTTTATGACTTCTATGATATGGTTTTTTAAATTTATTGTTAATATATTTTAATAAATCCAATATTCATAGGATTATAATTTAATATTCAACAGTTTTATTTTAATTTTTAAGTAGATTATTTTTTCTTTTTTTTATCAAAGAAATAGCCTGCTTAATTAAAATGTTACAAGTAAGAATAAGAGAAATAAAAATTAACATTTAATTTATCAATCTAATATTTTATCTGAAAACCATTAATTGAAGGGTGATCCAGAATAACATGCTATGAAGCAATCTCGATCTATTCGTAGTATTGTAAAGTTCCTAAAGTGTTTATTATATACAAACTTAAAAATTGGTGATTTGTTGACTATTACAACGTGCTATGTGCGTTAGCTGGCTTCAATTGTTCACAGACGTGTCATGCAAATATTACGATTATATGAAAGAACGTTCCAAATAACATTTAAAAAATGTAGAATACATTTTTCGTTTTTTGTTGTTTCTGTACAATTTGCTACATAGCATATTATTCCTGTCCTCCCTTCAATTATCAAATATATATTAGTTTTAGATTGTGAGTAGAGCACTATTACTTGGTTATATAATATTAATATAAATATTTTTGTTTTGTTAAACGCTACCATAGTATAATAATTACTCTAAAAGTTTTGGTTAGTGTTATTTTAGATACATCAATTCAGATATACAGGATGTTTTTTTTATTATGAACCAGTAATTATCTCGGAGAATTTTAAGTAAATTTGATTTCTGTTTTTTCTAATCATTATGGAATCGTTTATCTATTTTAAAACCATTTTTAATAAGCATAACTAATATCAAAAATTCTGGAAAAATATTCACTATTCAGATCTGTGTTCAGAAGGGGATGGGGTTCCTATTTGAAAATCAAAAGTACGCACTTATTTAAGGTATATGGAGAGGGGTAAATAATTAAAAATAGTTTTAAAAAAAAGATAAACGATTCCATAATGATTAGAAAAAACAGAAATCAAATTTACTTAAAATTCTCTGAGATAATTACTGGTTCATGATAAAAAAATCATCCTGTATATGAAGTCCTCTAAAGAAGTGGTATCGTAAAATAGAATTTCAGTTTTATTAAACATTTTAATTCTTTATTTTTTCAAAAACAATCTAATCTTTCTACTGATAAAACCTAAGTATTCTGTGACGAGAAGAGAACTTCAATAATTTAAATCAATTAAAAAGACTATTAGTATTCAGTTATATAGAAATATTTAAGAAATAAGTTTTGTCTTTATATATTTTATTCCAAATGAAATTTTATGAGGAAAACAATAATAATTTAATATTATTCTTAATTTTTTCTCGTAAAAGTATCATTTTTATCTCAGTGTTTTACTGTTATTGATTAATATTAATTCATCATTAAATATGTACCAAATAAATTCAATTACCATTTTTGTGGAAAAACCATGTTTATTAATCAAAATTACCATCATTGTTCACTTGCTGATATTATTTGGTGTGAGTTGCAGTTTTCTTTTCTTTTAAATGCTCTTTATTTCCTCAAATAGAATTTTATCAATGCAAATAGTTAAAACTATAAAAAAATTTAAAGGTAGGATATGTAGGCCATAGGGTAATTTTATTTATATCCTATCAATTTGAAGGTTGAATATGTTTTGAAAAAAACATCAAAACATTTCGCACTAGGCGATTTAACTGAATTACAAAAAAAAAACTACAATTTCGTACTATTTTTTAAATTTTTTAAATTTTAAAAAAAACTGGAAGGACAATCAACTTCACAAAATTTATTGTAAAAATGTTTTTGTTGTTTTTGGTTTTAAATAGAAGTGTTGAAACAAATAAAATAATCAAATATATATATATGCATAAAAAAAACCAATACACTCGCTTCTTTCAGGATCTTACATAAAGAGTATGTCTGTAGAATTCCAATAAAAAAGAACTATAAATGTTTTCTTTTGAAATGTTACTGTACTCCAGTATATTTGAATACTTAGCAATTATTAAAAAAAAAAATCTGATATGTAGATCATAAGTAATATGTACATTGTATTTATTATGCAAACTTCATTAAGTTATCTTTTATAGATATTTTAATTTTAAGATAAAACAAACAATTAAAAATTATAGTATAATAATAATAATAAATCCCATTATTTATGTTTTACACAAATCTTAATGTAAAATGTCTATTATCATAAAACAACTATGGAATATTATATAAATAATTAATACAAAATAATAATATGTACAAGGTACATGGAACCTTAACCAAACAGGGACAATAAAAATCCAAACATTTATATTTAAAATATAATAATAACAATAAGACCTTAATATAAAATATGTGAGAATAATATATTATACATATATATATATGTATAAAAAACTAAAATTATTTTTAACCATTGCAATGTAATATCTACATTTACATAGTTGGTTAGTTTGTATAATTTTAAATTTGCTCAATATGACTATTTTTTTGATTGATGTAAGTTTAATTATACACACAACTACTATTTATTTATATGGTAAAATAGTTAAAGCATATACATGTTTCTTTCTTTACATAACATTATCATCGTCCACTTTATTAAGTTCCATTAATGTATGTGAAGGAATAATAGGAACACCATTTACGTCTTTGATTGGCTGTACAACATTGGGTATTTCACCGGGTGTATCTTGCGCTACAGATTGAATAGGTGCATTTGAAGGTTTCAATGTTTGCGGTTTTAACAATATCAAAGGCACATAACCTCTTTGTCCAAAAGGATCATCGACCAAGAGCCATCCACCATTACGTACAACTGCTGATAACCTAGCCTGAGTAGTAAAATAATTTTGTCCTTTCACCAAAGCAATTGTTTTAGGATCTTGACAACTCCAGTCAACTGGCGATTTAATCAGTATTCCTTGTGAAGATCCTGAAAATGATATACAAATGTTTAAATTTATTTTAAATTCTTTAGATATTGACATTAATAAATAATTAAATATTGATTTTCATTTATAACTAATAAAGAATGATATTATTACTGTTTGGAGGTGGTTGGAAGTTGGACATGATTGGAAGTAAAGGGTTAGTAGGTGGTATAGGCGAAGTTGGAGAATCGCAAATTGGTGTCACTGAATTGAGTAGTTTATACACAAAATAAGGAGTAGCAACTAATAATCCAGTAAAAACTACTAATGGCCAAGATCGTGCATCAGAAGAAATATCCCCTTGAGTTGTAGATGATAAAGTTTCCCACAAGTCTTCTTCAGCACTTAATCTATTTCCTCTCACCATTCCTAAGGAAAATATTCAAGTTTAGTTGTATATTATAAACAAACCATTAAAATAAAATATATTCTTAAGTATATCCTTAAGAAATTATAAATTACTTAATAAGTAAAAGAGCTTAGCTAAAAACCATCTGGCTAATTTGAATGACACAATAGTTGAGTATAGTTTCATCATAAACATTCTTAGACGGGTGAAATTTTCAGCAACGCCGAGTAAAGCTTGGAAAGACATATGCATTGCGGTAAAAGTCGACTCCAACATCATACTGACTGCATTAAATGATTGAACAACAGATTGAATAGATTCAAATGCAGGACGAGAATTTTCAGCTGCTGCAATAACAACGCTACAAAAATAAAAATATAACACAATATTTATAAGACACAAGTTTTAATAAAATAAAACAAGAATACTTTGATAATACATTGCATTGAGAATTTATTTTTATCATTCTTCCAGTGGGTCGTAAAGTGTTTAACGGCGTTAACTAGCATTTACATTTGCCGATATTCGTATGTATTTTTTCTTTTAACTGATAGAGCTTACCTACATTATATGGAACATTGCAAAAATAACCAAAGTCTGCTATTGACCATTTAAGCTTTAATAATCAATTAGTTGTACATTTGCACAACTTAAATGGATTCATATCAGAATAGATTAAAAATATTAAGAATAACAAGGACATGAATCTTAAACTAAAATTGATATAAAATGGTGTAAGCATAAATTCCTTTTTAATTTTTCTCATTATAGTGTGTATAAAACAAAACAATTTATGAATTAGGTAATAAAAAATATATATATATAATATAATTATTTAATATTTTAAATAATAATTAAAAAATATATGAATATTATTATACTACCCAGCAATAAATTCACATGGATTGTATCTATGTTGTATGATGCCAATGACATTATCGTAATTTTGTAAACTGTATATTAGTAGATTAAATTATCGTAAATAACAGTTAACAATAACATTAATATACCTAATCGTCAACTTGTATCTAATATCATTATATAAAAAAAACAGAATTAACTTTACTTTAGGAACTCGTGTTATATGCTATCTACAACGAATATTTACCTACTAGAATCTACTCCATCTTGTTCGGTATTTTTTTTTTTTTTAACATCTATAAACATCTGTGATTTTTAGAAATCGCAGACCCCCTTTTTTTTTGAATAACTTTTTATTTTACAAAACATCTCATGTTATCCTAACCAAATTAATTATAATTATTATTTTATATTACAAATTACGTAAATAGACATAACAAAACGTACACATTTAAACATTTTTTTTTATTACACTGAATTTTGCATAAAAATGTAATATAAATTATTTTATACTTAATATTCTTAAAGTTTAATTTTTATTTACTTAATGCGATGGATGGTGTTTGAGATACAAGTTTTTGAACATTGAGTTCAGTACTAGAAAGCTTTAATCGTAGTTCAGATTCTACATTTTCTATTCAGTCTCGAAAACCTATTCTCAATATAAGCAAGAGTGGAGAAAGCTTTTTCACACGAATAAGTTGTGGAGAATGGAACTAAAACTAGTTTGAAGGTTTTAAGTTTTGATGTTTTAAAAGCCTTGTTTGATAATACCTCAAAATATATCACACATTGAGATTTTAGTTCTTCTACGGATCCGTTGAAACCCATTGATAAATAAATATTATCATACTTAAGAAGTTTTGTTAACTTTTCTTTTGTCAAACACAGTTTATTGGTGTATGTTATGTAATAATAAGGCTACTACGGACCCCCGGGGGCAGTGGCGTACGCAGGGGAGGGAACTTTAAGGATTATATCCCCCCATTGACTTAAAAATAAAAAAAAAATGAAAAAAATATTAGTAATCTAATATCGAAATGCATATATTTCAGCCAAGTCACAAAGAAAAAATTGATGTATTGATAAGAAATGGTTGAGTTTTTTTAATCTAGTTGACTGAAGAAGACAATTTTATGATTTATTCACGATTGTTATTTGCTACAATCCCTCCCATTGAAAATTCCTGGGCGCGCTACTGCCCAAGGGGCACACATTTATCGCCTGTGATATAGATAACATACAACGCAATCAACATTTGTGTAGATAGCATATAATGCATCTATACCTCACAGAGCTATAGAGGATTACAGAATACAGTTCTAAAACTGCTGAAATAGAATACTAAAACATATTTTACATTTCAGCTGCCTGCCTAAAAATAATTTTGCGAATTATCTCATGCCATTATCGTTAGTATTTAACGTGTTATTACATTGATATTTTTACCTTAGGTTCAAAGATTTCGAGATATTCATTCATGTATAAGAGATACAGCCTAAAGAAAATCACTTTTCTAAACAAGGAACATTTTATACCACATAAGACGTGGTAAACATAGATTATATAAACAAAAATTACTAAATTAAAATACATGTAGGTACATGAAAATAAAATAAATATAACTAAATTTTTCTTAACATTATATAGTGTAACAATTAGTAGTTATGATTTACTTTCAACTAAGCCTTTTTGCTTTTGAAAATCATGAATCACAAATATTACTAATATTAAACTAGTTTTGTCTCAATAAATAGGTAGGTAATAGGTACATCTATTGGATTGTCATTATAATTTTTTTCCATTGATTACAATACCTCTTTATTGTATGAAAAAAATGTATAATATGCCAATGATGATACCAATGAAAAAAAAAAACAATTAGGTACATAATAATCAATACTCACGGATTTTGATACTGACTGGAGGTTGGCTGCCCATATGGATTATATCCATTCATGCTCATGTACGGTCTGTAGGGATAATTGTTGTAAGTCGCATTGTAACCCACTGTAGATCCATTCGTGGAATGTACTGGAGGCATGATGTGAATAGGCATATTAAGTCTTCTATAATTATTCCTTGTAAACTGACTGTTAGCAGCAGTGGCAGCGGAAGCAGCTGAAAGATTCGGAAGACCACCTACAGAAGTCATTGATGGTATGTGCATTGGGGGTGCAACTCTGCCAGGTCCAGCGCCAGCCTGTGCATTTTGCAACAGCTGATTGGTCCTTGTCAGCATATCATTTCTGAATTAAAAACAAAATATATAATTTAGGCTACAAGGAGTTACCATTGTAGATACTTACAAATAATGTTCCCGGTCGTCCATAAGTATAGTTTAATGTCCGCGTTTTAATTCAATAATTCTAATTAATGCAGGGGGAAATTGTTCGATAAATATAGAATCAAAACTACATGTACACGTCCTAGTAATATGATGATTGCTGAAAAATGTACTATGCAAACTATAACGAATCAATAAACAAAAAGAATAATATATTCTATTCATAAATGAAATAATCAAATAGTTAATAGAATAATGAAATATAATAATTTAGAATGACTGTGATATAAACATCATATTATCAGGTTATCATAGTGCAGGCGTACTCAAAAATATTTTCTAAACAAATATTTCATCATGGTTTCCCGTGTTAAAAAGTATAATAATCTAATAACATTATGTAAGTGGTACCACTGAAATCTTAATCGTGGAAATCAAATTCGTTATTATTGGAAGTAAATCTCAAATTCTCAAAGATTTAGTAGTATTTAGATAAGTACTAAGTAGACATTAGCAGGTCCTGATAAATGCATGTGCACGCGGTGTATAAGCACAGGGCCTCCAGAATCTAAAAATCCCTTCCTGCTCTCTCTCTCGAAAAAAAAAGTACACTTTTATATTTTATAATATACTTTATATTTTTGGTAGATAGGTACCAAATTAAATAGTGCACAAGGAGACGTCCTAGAAAGAGATGGACAGAAGATGGTGTGCAGAAGACCTAAATGCAATGGGCATAGAGGATTGACGAGAAATTGTACAAGATAGAAAAAGTGGCGGGTTATTGTAGTGACGGTTCTTAGAGAGTAGTATGACCAGAAAAAGAAAAAGAATATAAATACATAATTTATTTTGAAAACATCACTCTATTGTTATGACATTTATCAAAATTATTGATAATATCGTCAATATTTAATGATTTTGCTTTAGATTTTTTTATAGTAATAATTATGCTTAAGCTTATTGATGTCTAGCTTATCTCACTGGCCTTTTTATCCTACTGACTTAGCTGTCTTAATGGGTTGAATGACTTAGGTAAGTTTACCGTTTTATTTTAAAAACATCCAAAACAAATTAGAAGTAGGTAAGAAGAGGAAGTCGGCGGTAGTAAAAATGTCATTCAAGCTTACGTTCGATAGCTTATATAAATTATAATACGAATAATCGAACATTAATTGGTACTATAAATTATTCGTTATCGCCCATCACGCTTATTTTATTTATATAAGAAACTGTTCAGAAATTATTAAATCATATTATATTATATTTAATATGTATGATTTATATTATAAATAAATACGTGTATACGAGTATATTATGGTACGCGAGGCGATAGTCACGCGCCAAGCGGTCATTTTTTCAGGGCTTTCAGGGGTTTTACGTTTAAGATAAATGGAAACAGTTGGCGCGTATTTTTAAAACGGCAGGTGGAAATTTATAGTGTTATTTTTGTATTTTGAAGACTAATTCCTTATCATACAGCTGCAGATATTGCATTCCAAAATATTTTGTTAACGTTTGGTTAGTCATTCGTGATACAAGTTTGAACATAAGTATAATACATGACACGTGCTTTACAGTCGTATTATTATTCACTTATTATCTACGTTTATAATCATATTTCTCGCGTTCGCATATCTTTGGTTTTTAAAGTGCGCGCTTTTAAAGTTTGAATGTTTGTGGTATTTTAATTATTTCTTTAATAATTACTCGTATACAAAAATATTTTTAAAATGTTATATCAAGAAACACATTTTTAAACGAAGAAAGTAATTTTTCACATTTATAACTATTTCAAAACATTGGCTGGTGACAAAGGTAGGCCAAAATTTAGTAGTTTCTTTCGTCAAACACGTGAAATGACTGCTGAAGCATGTGGCGTATGTTTTGCTTGTGTTTAACGAGTTTGCGCTGAAGAGAAAAAATTATCTGTAAGAGAAAATCGACTAGATGCCGAACCTTCTTTATTTAAGTTTCCAAGGAAAAGTTTAAAACGTGCCAAACATATGACTAACTTAGACGATTTTGACAATGAAGTTGTCAGAAGAACAGTTCATAGTTTTTATGTTAATGATCAGTATCCAACAAGTGCAAAAATTTGGGAGCGTTGCATGAAAAAATGAATTATTCGGGTTTACAATGGTTCGCGCGACATATTTTGCGTAGTTTAAATTTAAAACACAAAAAATGTAATGATGGGCTTAAGTTTTTAATGAAACGAAATGATATTGTTTGCTCTCGGATTAAATTGCTGAGAAAAATGAACGAGTTCAGACGTAATAACGACACAAGGCCAATAGGGTCTAACGTGCCGGGTTTAGGAAGATTGGCGATGCAATCTCAAAAAGTGAGTTCTAAGGCACCTGAAGAAACTGACGTTCCACGTCACGCATGCTTTCACAGGTCACGGGTTCAGATACTATTTTATGGATGTCTATGGGATTATGATCCACTGAGACATTATTTGTGCTTGTACGTTTCTTACATTTTATAATAAAACGGAATATAAATACCCATAGAAGAAAAATTTAAAAAAATCAAGTTTTGTTCCGCGAAGAACAATTTATGTTGCGGATACGATTATGTATGCAGGGGGGTAAGGAAGCGCAGTCCATCTGTTAATAGGTCTATGATTTAGATCAACAATAATTTTTTTGAAATAATTATCTGATGAAACCACGGTTAAAAATACACACGTTGAGAATCGAGCTGTTATAAAGTGAAGCACAAACCTTCTGAAAAAGTCAGCAGTATCAATTAATCACTAGCGCTCGTTAATTCCCAGTGTTAAAAATTACTACTTGTTACTATCATAAAACAATATTAACAATATTTACTAATATTTGTATAATTTAAAAATTTACGAAAATAAAACAACTTATGACTATTATGGAGAAAATATTCTATCTCAACTTTTTACTTATTTTGATAATTTTTTTTTTCGTTTTGTTTTCCTTTTATTTGTTTGGTTTTCCATGTAAATAAACTGCTTCATGTGCATGATTATACAATACAAAAATATGTTTGTTAACTTCAATTTGATGCTCCTGGATACTACATGAAAACTTTAAATTCACATTGTGTTTGAAAAATTCTTAATATGTGTTTTCAAATGCTTAAATAAAAGCAAAATATGTAAAAGTGATTATTTTTTGTAATTAAATATAAAGTAACGAAATAGGAAATTTCAATAACATTATCATCACGTGTATAATGTATCTTGAAAACAACACAAGATATATATATACAATATATATTGTTTTGAATTGAAGGTGGAGCGTGTGGTGCTGTTTTAGAAAATGTTAAGGAAGATATTCTAAACTTAAAAGTAATTAAAAGTAATTAAACTTTTTTATGGAGATTATATTGAATTTTTAAAATTAATAATTATTTTTAATAGTAGTGATTCAGAAAATTAAATTAAAATTCATCCTCCTGGAGTCATGCATCAAACGCGATGAATGGCACTAGCAATTTATTGCTTAAAAATAATTTTGAATAGTCAATACAATATTTATGATTTTACAAACAAAGCAATTGGAGAGATTTGTGTGTTCATTATTCAATTTTATGTTAAAGCTTGGTTTAATTGCCCATTGCCGAATAAATCTCCAAATGAAGACTTACAATTTCTAAAATATTAGAAATTATATGAAGACTTTGATGGAGATATATCTAGAATGTCAATTCAAAAATTAACTAATCATTTACAGTATTTAAATGAATAAACTGCAGCACTGCAGTTTATCACACTGCAGTGTGATGATTCTGTTCTGCATTCGATGATTTTATACTACTAGAAGTAAAGCGTTAGATGTTAGAAGCTTTAAAAAAAGCTATAAAAAACTAGACAAAATGACTGATGGTTCAACCCAACCAAAAAGATAATCAATTTATAAGTAAGGAATAAATGCAGTTTAAATAATATATTTAAAAATATTTAATAATTTATAAAATAAAATTTAAATAATTTATTTTATTTTTCACAGAAACAAATATTGATACATTTATTTCACAAGGTAGCTTAAAATTATTTTCTCAATTTAATATTTATAACGAATTCTTAAAAAATGATCTGATATTCTGGGAATTTAATGCAAGCTTTATTAATAGTAAACAAATTATTAATTCACGAAAAATAGTAAATGATACTGCAGAAAGAGCCATTAAACTGATGGAAGAATACAATGCAACGTTAACATTGAACTAAGATCAAAAAAATTTATATTAAAATTTGTGCAAGAATTTTATGTGCAAGGAAAATTTATCCAGATTATAAAAAAATTACTCTACAACATTATCTATAGTATAGTACTATTACATTACAGAATTTTTTTTTCTAAATGATTTAAATATATTTTATAAGAAACAAATATAATTTTAAATGAATAACATTGTAAACATAATTAATCAATACTAATATTTATTATTAATACCTATTTATGAAAATATACGAAAATTGTGATTTTATGGAATCTCAAATCAATGTACTTCATGCAAAATATGAGATATGAAAAAAATAATTTCTATAAAAGTTATAGGAAATTTAATTTACTTTAAAATATTTGAAATAAAAAATCTCGATATTTCTAATAGTTAATGAAATATTTACGGAAATATTGAAAATTTTCGTAAATAATGAAAAATGTATCAAATTTAAATTTTAAGTTTAATTCGGTACGGGTTAACTTTATTTGATTTACCTAAACATTTTTTTATTCACTTTTATACATAAACACACGTATATAGGGGGTGAGATTAAATATATTTTAAAATTGAAAATTAAGGAATACCCTTTTATATATATATATATATATATATTATACTTATGTACTACAATATATCAATAAAGATCGTGATTATAATCGTGATATTAATAATTATATAATAATATTAATAATATATAAATAATATTCATCATAAAAAGCACGGCAATGTCAATGTCGGCTAATAAAATTGTACAAGATAATTCCGCTGGTAGCACTAGTTATTAGTTGGAACAGCTGATTTTTTCAGAAGATTTCGGTTTCAAAATTAAGAATTGTATATATCGGTTGATTCCCAACATAGGCGCAATTTCAGTTTTTAACTTGGAGGGGCTCAATATTTTTAAATGAAACAGATCCACATCTGTCCCCCACACCCCCCATTCAAATACCAAAATCATAGTTATCTCACCAATTTTCCTGCATAAATTATGGATCCATTAATAAAACTAAGAATATTTATATTAAAACAAATAACAATATTTAGGTATTTAAAAACATAACATATATTTATTAGGTATATTATCATTGTAACCGTCGATTCGAAAT